TTTTTTTCCATAATTACCTTCAAACCACATGTGGCGTTGTTTGTGCCTCTATTCAACAATGTTAGTCTTTCTGGCTCTTTAACAATTCAGCAGGGAAATGGCCTTTAAAGGTAAGCTGCATATATCATTTTTAGCAGGGTATCAGAGGTGAATGGATAAAAAATACATTTATATGAGTACTGAACTTATACAGCTTTTTTTGAGAATTCATATTTTTTTAGCAGCATTTTTTTCTAAACACTTATTGGTCCATTATTGATTAATCATATATAATGACCTTTACTGTAGTGAGTGAGGTCTGCAGTGCACTTGGTTTTTCTACTCATGGCTGTTGTGATATTTTACCTGTAGATTATTTATACATGATTAACTAGAACCAGAGTTGTAGTTACCTATGCAATATGGTACTAAATATACTTTATATACTTAAAACGTAAAAGAATGCTAAACTAAATTGTATAGAAAATATTGAAGACTTTTCTGGAAGAAATGGAGACGTTTTACATTCTCTTCATTGTACTGAGTGACGTCATCATCAGACATTCTCAGAGCAGTCAAAGAAACGTCCAAAAGGCTGTTTTAGTGTTTTTTTTTATGTATTGCTGAAAGCAGAATATCGCTCTACTAGGTGCTAGATTTCAGCGACTGTTCCTGACTCAAATCGCATCATAAAACGATGCTGACACTTTTGTCTTGTAGATATGAAGGTGATGTAAAGAACCATACCAAACTTTGCGGGCTGACAACTGAGGAAATAAGTTTTAAGAAGTAAATATTAGCAAGATGCTAAGCATTAGCTATGACCAGCTAACTTTTCTGATAAGAACAACCAGACGTTATGTGGTGTTTTTCTCATCATGGAATGTTTTTATTATGAATATTCTGGATTACTTTTAATCTGTGGGCCTTTATGGACGAATGTAGTAAACAATTGAAGATTGGATGTATAAAACGACTTCTGGATTCTGGATTTTGCTATATTTGTGTTATTTTTGCTTTGGGGCTCGCTGTGTCTATAAAATGAACTTGGTGATTGAATTGTGGAGAATCAAAGCTTTCCAACGATGTCTAACAGGTCTATATCGGGAAAAGTTTTACTGTTGTAATTTTCATGTGTTCTGAGTTGTTAGTTGTAAACTAAAAAAAAAAAAAAAATTGTCTCGGTACTGATCCTGTCATGATCTGCCCTGATAGCTGATATAAAGCTGTTGCTTTATATTTGGCTCAGCCCAGCTACCGGGGCCTGGTCATGGATTGTTGTTTGTTCGGTTTAGGTTAGTTAGAGTTATTTCCACGGTTCGCGTCCCCGTTCCCAGAGGACAGTGGGTTGAGGTTTTAAGTGTTTTTATTGGTGGAGTACAGTGTAAATTCCCGTAATCCTGGCTCCTACGTGGAGACCAGCCTAAAGTTTCACAGTTATCCTGGTACCATGTCTTGTCTCTGTCCCTCAACCACTGAGCCTGCCTGTCTGCATCTCTGTCTGAGCTCGCTGCTGGACTCATGTAACTTGCCTAAACGCTCTGTGGATTGCTCGAAGCCTGGATCTGTCTGTTCCTGTGTGGATCGGAACCCCTGACCTGGCTGCGGACTCCTGGATTCCAGAACTGCCCTGTCTGATCTGTTTTCCCTGACCTGGATCGTATTCCTGCCTGCTTACTGAGGTTGCTGCATTGGAGACACTCTGGGCGGCTCTGCGCTGCAACTCGTTTGGCATTCCATTGGCTAGATCCTTCCTTCCTTGGAAAGGATGGACTGTCAAACTAGGTAAGTGACACACACAGATAATCATCTCACGTCTGATGATCATGGTCACATACCTGCATTTTTCCCTCCAGAGTGTCAGTCATTGGGTGGTACCCCGACGCCCCTGCAGCCTCTGCGGTCCGCAGATCCACAGCAGCCAGCTTCTGTTCCATTATGTGGTTTGGATTAATAAACGTTTTGAACTTTCCCACTGTGTTTCTCACCTTCAATACTGGGTCCATCTGTCCCTGTTTCATGACAGTTTGGTTTCCTGTGGGATCACCGGAGCCAGGTTGACCCGCTAAATAATATGATCAATTGAACGGAATGTGCGGACGTCAACACACCGTGCCAATCACCTCAGATCTGACTAGCTGAAACAACTCTTTACATTCGATAAACATGGAGCAGCTCTGATGAGAGTGATCCAGACAGATAATAGAGCGAAACACACTAAGCACACTGACTATGCCCTGGCTTCCTTACATGTTGCTCTCCATTGTTTACTTTCCTGATTTCTGTCCATCTGATGACATCATCAACACAGCGTGACGGTGTCCTCAGACAGGTAGAGGTGGGCAGAGGCCATGCAGCCCCCAGCGAGGGTTTAGACCAGTTTATTTTGCCAGTGGGAAGGGAGCCAAATGCCAATTGTTAGTGGGTCGACTGTTGTTTGAAAAACCCGATTAAACACAATATTTTCAGTGAGAAAGAGGCAAAAAGTCCTACAAGTTATGTATCGGACTAACCTTCCTGCCTCTGCAGTCATTTCATTGGATGCCCAACAAGCATTTGACCAAATTGAATGGGACTATTTGTTTTTGGTCCTCCAAAAATTTGGATTTGGTGATAAATTCATTGCATTATTAAAAATGGTTTATGCTCATCCCAAGTCTTCTGTTTTGACTAATCACGACAGGTCTGCCTCTTTTTCATTACACCGTGGAACCAGACAGGTGTGCTGTCTCTCACCGTTACTTTTTGCACTGGCCATGGAACCCCTTGCTATTTCCATCAGGACCCATCCGTCGATCACTGGCATCTCGGACTATACTACAGATAGTCCCATCGGCCTTTATGCTGACGATGTTATTTTGACTTTTTCAGATGTTACAATCTCCCTTTCTCCGCTTCTTACTCTTATAAAGAAATTTGGAAGGCTCTCTGGTTTTACTATTAATTGGGACAAAAGTCTTTTTATGCCTCTTTCTGATGGTCTGGACACTGATTTTCTTAGTAGCCTACCATTTAAAGTTTCCACTAATCATTTTGAATATCTGGGAATAAATATCACAAGGGACCCTAAACTTCTTTTTAAATACAACTATCTGGAGTTAATCAATAAATTAAAGTCTATGATGGATCGATGGAAGCTTCTTCCTCTTTCCTTGATTGGCCGTGTTAATGTCGTTAAGATGGTGTTCCTCCCAAAATTGACATATCTTTTTCAAAATATACCCATTTATCTTATCTGCTTCTTTTTTTAAGATGATAGACTCCATCATAATTCATTTTATCTGGGCCGGTAAACACCCTCGAATTTCTAAGTCTCACCTACAGAAACCTACTGTTGAGGGTGGCCTTGGCCTTCCTGATTTTCGTCATTATTACTGGGCTTGTAATGCTAGAACCTGGGTTTTTTGGAGTCATGTTTATCCGAAGGGGGAAGAGGTTGACTCATTATTGCCCAATTGGCCACAGAATGAAAACGTTGCGTCCATAGCACTTACTACTTCCTCTCTTTCCGCTGTAGTGTTCTCCAACTTCTCTTTCCCCTTTCAGTTGCTAAAGGATAATTTCATCTTAAAAAATTCATTTAGGATTCTGAAGCAGATAAAGACTGTTCTGAATCTCTCGTATTTCTCCATTTATGCCCCCATTTTTCAGAATGCAGCGTTTAAGCCAGGGAATTTGGATATAGTTTTCAAGCACTGGTTTGATAGAGGCATAGCTGTTGTCAAGGATTTATACATCGATAACAGCTTTGCTTCCTTTACGCAACTCCAATCCAAATTTGGTCTTCCTTGTAGCCACTTTTTCCGGTACCTGCAAGTTCGCAATTTTGTTAGACAAAATATACCTCACTTTGAAACCATATCAGTGCAACATAGTTTCTTCGAGCTTATAAAAAAGCCCCCTACTTCTAGAAAGCTAATCTCTCACTTTGTTAATCTTTTCAGTTCATCTCCTTCTACCAATCATATAAAAGAGGCCTGGGCTTCTGATACACTAGTCGAAATTTCAGATGAGATGTGGAATTTGAGTCTGTCAAGGATCAAAACATGTTCCATTAACTCCAGATTGCAACTTATACAATTCAAGGTTATCCATCGTTTGTACTTTTCTAAAACCAAACTTAATAAGCTGTTTCCTAGTGTCTCTCCCATATGTGACAAATGTAAATCTGACAATGGGACTTTAGGTCATATGTTTTGCTTTTGCCCTATGCTTATGGAATTTTGGTACAGAATATTCAAATTTTATAGTAACGCTTATGGTAAAGCTTTATATCCAGATAATCATTTTATAATTCTGGGTTGCTCTAAATTCTCCGTTACTCTTCCCATGTCTCTGCAGCAGGCTCTAATGTTTGGTCTGGTGGTTGCAAAACGGGTTATCCTGAGGGAACGAAATCCTCTACACCTCCATGTTTTAAAAAATGGCTCAATGATATGGTGTCCTGTCTCTATCTTGAAGAAATTCGATACTCTTTGACAGACAACCACGATAAGTTTCTAGATGTGTGGGGTCCTTTTAATAGACATATTCAAAATAATGGGTTAAAATGACTCTTTTCTGGACCTCTTTTTTTTTTTTTTTTCATTATTATCTCAATACTGTCATCCTTTATTGTATTTTTTTTATTGATATCCCATGTTTTATGTTGATCCGCTTGATACAATGTCTGCAGAATTATTATTTTTTTTGTCCTTTTTGACTCTGCCTCATGCTTTAATATGCACGATTAATATAATAATATATTATTCTCTTATCAGTTTGCTGACACTGTTTTGTCTTGTTTTTTGTTTTGTTGTACTTGTTTACTGTTTTGTTATATTTTCTTTTTTTTCTTTTTTGTCTTGTCTGTTTAACTCTGAAAATGCATAAATAAAATATATATAAAAAAAAAGAAAGAGGCAAAAAGGCTCTGCAAACTAAAACCCAGGCTAAAATGTACTAGAATGGATCTGGTCAATCCTGTCTGAGGAGCTTACATTCAATGATAGTTAAACATATTTCTCTCTGTGTTTTTCCAGGTTGCTTGTTGGCGCTCCCCTTGAATTCACAGGGGAACTTCAGACTGGTGATGTGTACAAATGTCCACTTGATATCAAAAGCTCTGCAAACTGCAGTCGGCTTGACCTGGGTAAGAAAACCACGTTTTGATCATATGGACATTATCATCAATAATTTAATGATGCATGAGATATATAAACTGGTTACTCCAGCACTTACCGTATTTTCACGACCATAAGGCGCACCGTACTAAAAGGCGCACTCTCAGTTATGTGTCCCATTTCTGTATTTAACACACACATAAGGCGCACCGGACTATAGGGCGCGTTTTTTATATACAGGTACATGTCCTCTACTACCTTTAAATACCTCTACTGCGTATTTAAAAATACAGCGGGGGCAAAACTGAGTATGATTGTGCTTTATTCATGTATTTATTACAAAGTATTAATCAAACCTGGCAGCTGGCCGTGAGACAGACACATCGCAGATGACACAGCGCTGTGATCACTACTAAATTAACTTAAAATCCTGAAACCTGCCGACGGAATATGTTCGCTTTTATGGGTGCCTGCAGTTTAAATTATTTCGATGAAAAACACCTGCCATCCACCGCGTGAACCCGGAGGCTGCCCAGCCTAGAGGCTGCTGTTGAAGGGATTTCTAGTGTTGGTGTACCGCTGGTATGTGGGGGTCTGAGCGCCTCCGACAGAAATAGATAATCTGGATGAACTGACTGCAATTATTAAGTTTTCAGGTGGACTTTCTCACTTAAAAACATAATAAAACTACTTAATTCCCACTGATCACAGCAAATATAGCTGCAAGATTTAGATTATTTAGATGAAAAAACACCTGCCAGCCACCGCGGTGAAGAGGAGGAGACCCGCCCAGAGGCTGCTGTTGAATTAAGTTTTCAGGTAGAAAAATAGAGCGGGAGCAAAACTGAGTATGATTGTGCTTTATTCATGTATTTATTACAAAGTATTAATCAAACCCATCAAAGTCATCATCCTCTGTTTCTGAATAAAACAGCTGCGCTAAATCAGACATGCCAGTTTCCCCTTCTTCGCTGTCAGTCACTTTCCGTGCAGCGCAGCTCCTCAGAAATAATGCCGGCTTTTGCGAAAGCTTGAACAACAGAGCCAGCAGACACTTTAGTCCAAGCATCACAATCCATCCGCTGACGGTGGCGTAACTTGCCCGGCGCTGCCTTCCACTTATCCTGAAACTGTGGTCTCTGTCGGCCATCCATCGCTCCCACGCCGCTCGCAGCCTTACTTTGAACGGCCGCTTCACACTGATGTCGAGCGGTTGAAGCTCCTTTGTCAGACCCCCCGGGATAACGGCGAGCACAGTATCCATTTGATTCACCTTTTTTTTCACATCGGCTGTGAGATGGGCACGCAGCGATGGTGATGCGTGGAAAAAACCACCTGGTCTCCTCACATAGGCTACACCTCCCTCAGCTACGCTTTCATCATCTCCTCATCCATCCAGCCTTTTCCATTTGCGTTAATATCATATGTCATCAGAGCGCTGTCAGCTCCCAGATCAGCTTCTCTGATTGGTTGATGCGGCGCGTCCAGCAGCAAAACTTCAATTTTTCCATCTCGAGCAGCAGCAGCGCGTTGGCAGATGCTTAAACGCTCCTGCTGCTCAAAACGCGCTGCAGGACCTTTTGCTGCGCCTATACGCGCGTCAACCATTGACTTTGCATGTAAACTCGCTGCTTCTGCTGCACCTGCTGGGTCCGGTTCACACCGATGTCGAGCGGTTGAACAGCGAGCACAGCATTAATTTGTTTCCCCATGTTTTTCACATCAGCTGTGAGATGGGCACGCATGGAGTCACATATTAACAGCGATGGTGATGAGTGGAAAAAAAACACCTGGTTTCCTTCCATTCAGCCACTCTTTCATCATCTCCTCAATGAGGTGGTCTCAAAAGTCGCAGTTACAACACACATAAGGCGCACCGCACCATAGGGCGCACTGCACATTTTGATGGAAAAAAAAAGACGTTTAAGTGCGCCTTATAGTCGTGAAAATACGGTACTCTCCTTGAGGACATTATGTTAATGTTAAACTGTGCACAGGCTTAATATGTGCTAAGGATGTTACTAAATACTCAGAGATACACTGAGACATGAGTATAACCCACACATAAGATAGTTTCATGGTATGACTCCCTAGGACTTATGTAGATCCCGTTTGATGCAGCTACAGGTGCTGGTCATAAAATTAGAATATCATGAAAAAGTAGATTGATTTCAGTAATTCCATTTAAAAAGTGAAACTTGTATATTATATTCATACATTACATACAAACTCATATATTTCAGATGTTTATTTTGTTTAATTTTGATGATTACAAATGACAACAAATGAAAATCTCAAATTCATCATATCAGAAAATTAGAATATTGTGAAAAGGTTCAAAATTGATGGCCCCTGGTGCCACACTCTAATCAGCTAATTAACTCAAACCACCTGCAAAAGACTTTAAATGGTCTTTCAGTCTAGTTCTATAGGCTACACAATCATGGGGAAGACTGCTGACTTGACAGTTGTCCAAAAGACGACCATCGACACCTTGCACAAGGAGGGTAAGACACAAAAGGTCATCGCTAAAGAGGCTGGCTGTTCACAGAGCTCAGTGTCCAAGCACATTAATAGAGAGGCGAAGGGAAGGAAAAGATGTGGTCGAAAAAAGTGTACAAGCAAGAGAGATAACCGCACCCTGGAGAGGATTGTGAAACAAAACCCATTCAAAAATGTGGGGGAGAGTCACAAAGAGTGGACTGCAGCTGGAGTGAGTGCTTCAAGAACCACCACACACAGACGTATGAAAGACATGGGTTTCTGCTGTCGCATTCCTTGTGTCAAGCCACTCTTGAACCACAGACAGCGTCAGAAGCGTCTTGCCTGGGCTAAAGAGAAACAGGACTGGACTGCTGGTGAGTGGTCCAAAGTCATGTTCTCTGATGAAAGTAAATTTTGCATTTCCTTTGGAAATCAAGGTCCCAGTGTCTGGAGGAAAAGAAGAGAGGCACTTCATCCACGTTGCTTGAAGTCCAGTGTAAAGTTTCCACAGTCAGTGATGGTTTGGGGTGCCATGTCATCTGCTGGTGTTGGTCCATTGTGTTTTCTGAGGTCCAGGGTCAACGCAGCCACATACCAGGAAGTTTTAGAGCACTTCATGCTTCCTGCAGCTGACCAACTTTTTGGAGATGCAGATTTCATTTTCCAACAGGACTTGGCACCTGCACACAGTGCCAAAGCTACCAGTACCTGGTTGAAGGACCATGGTATCCCTGTTCTTAATTGGCCAGCAAACTCTCCTGACCTTAACCCCATAGAAAATCTATGGGGTATTGTGAAGAAGAAGATGCAATACACCAGACCCAACAATTCAGAAGAGCTAAAAGCCACTATTAGAGCAACCTGGGCTATCATAACACCTGAGCAGTGCCACAGACTGATCGACTCCATGCCACGCCGCATTGCTGCAGTAATACAGGCCAAAGGAGGCCCAACTAAATACTGAGTGCTGTACATGCTCATACTTTTCATGTTCATACTTTTCAGTTGGCCAACATTTCTATAAATCCTTTGTTTTTATTGGTCTTCAGTAATATTCTAATTTTCTGATATGATGAATTTGAGATTTTCATTTGTTGTCATTTGTAATCATCAAAATTAAACAAAATAAACATCTGAAATATATGAGTTTGTATGTAATGTATGAATATAATATACAAGTTTCACTTTTTAAATGGAATTACTGAAATCAATCTACTTTTTCATGATATTCTAATTTTATGACCAGCACCTGTATGATGTAGCAACTCTGCCTAAAGTATCATCAATGGTTATTAACAATTCAATGTTTTCTGAAGATTATTATACAAAGCCAAAGAACGTTGTAAAAGTGAGACTCTTGGACATTTTAGCTCACATGATCTCACTGCAAATAAAAAAACATATTTTCCAATATATTGATCAAAGCAGGTAATTATGCTCTTCAGCACCAAGAGCTGGTAAAATGTGGTGTTACGACTGAGAACTATGAAAGTTGATATTTCAGTTCAAAAGTAAGTTAAGAACAAACATCACTCTAGAACTCCTTCTTCCAAGCTGCGCTCTGTGCATCCACAGATATAATATGATTGTTCCTGATAGAAAGTCTATGCTTGTTACAGAATAGGACCTTAATTAAACCCTTAATAAAACAAAAGCTATGCTAATGATAGGAAATTTGCTTGAGTAGATGCTCAGTTGTTTTGTTCAACTAGCAGAGTAGGGGGGCTGAGAGGGGAGACGGTTTATTGAGGCCATGCAAATCGCAGAATGCTACCTTCGGCATGTTCGTATGGCGGCCCAGGGCCCCAGCCTGTAGGCGGTTCCCTGTAGCGCTTCCTTTATCTCTGTGGAAAGATAGGAGCCACATTATCCTTGACAGGATACAGTTTTAGATATCAAAAAACCTCAGGACAAGAAAAACACATATAACGCGAGACAGACATTTCAGCCGTGGGTCACATCGGAGGCTGGAGTCACATGAAAGTCAATCTGACATTTCAGACATTATTTGTGTATGTATGATGAGTGTGTTCAATTTGTCCATGAACGCTGACCACAGGCTATTGCCCTTGATGAAATTGAAGTTTAACAACAGTTCTGGGATGCATCCAAAGATGTTCGCGGGTAGGGCAGCCTTGAATCTTTTCTTGCTGGCTCTATGTGGGAATTGAATATTCCAAATTTATTGGGCTTTTCGGCCTTGAAGTAAGCCTCCTAAATTCCCCATTGTGGGACAATAAAGGATTTACATTTAACACAGAACCACTGATCCTAACGTTCCCTCAATAATAATACAAAAGATTACAGGTTGGAAATCACTGGAGCATGAGGTTGTTGGCAGAAGTTGCCCAGCCAATGCAACTTGCTGGAGCTATATGGAGAAATAATTACTGAGGGAGAGTTGTCATCATGTCCTCCGGCTGTCTTGGGCTATAGCAGCATAACTATAGAGATAGATCAGGATAACCTGAGCCACTCTAACTATAAGCTTTATCAAAAAGGACAGTTTTAAGCCTAGCCTTAAAAGTAGACAGGGTGTCTGCCTCACGGACTAAAACTGGTAGTTGGTTCCACAGGAGAGGAGCCTGATAACTAAAAGATCTGCCTCCCATTCTACTTTTAGAAATTCTAGGAACCACTAATAAACCTGCAGATTGAGAGCGAAGTGCTCTGTTAGGAACATAAGGAACAATCAGAACAAACAATCCATACATTTACATAGCTTTTTGTTGTTGTTTTTTTTTCTCTGTTTGCTTTTGCGGCTGATATTCAATCAGTATATGAATTCGGTTATTTAAACGTGAAAATGGTTCTGATTTCTAGAGCCTTAATCTTTTTGTTCCTTTGTTCAAATAAACATTGATCAGTCAGGATTAGAAATTTTAATAAGCTTGCTGTACTTTGTTTTCATCTGTTACAAGGTGAAGGGAAGAAGGTTTAATTTCTTGAATTCTCTGTGTCTCTCATTGTTTTAGTCTAAGCAGGCGTCTTGCTGACTAAAATCTGAATAATGCTTCATTAAAATCTGTTCAGGACTAAAAACATGACTAAGATTCTCAGACTGAAACTAGACTAGACTGAGATAGAAGCATATAAATAAATCTTCCCTATAATATTTTACATTTTGGTTAAAAGATTAAGGCAAACACTTATCTAAAATGTTTTCAAAACTGACATTGTTTAAAGAGCACACTGAATTTGGATATATCTCTGCAAATAAAATACTCATTTAATCTCTCAAAACTGGCCTACCGTCTCCTTTCCCCGTTTTTTTATGGTAAAAGCATTTCCCTTTTTTTTTCTGAACTTTTCTTAGGTTTCTACCAGTGAAATACGGTGAGCATCCACAATTTCAAAATTTACTCTGAAATCAACTGCATAGTCTGCTGATTTGAGCAACAACACTGATTAGTTGAATCTGTCTTGAATTAGTGACATTAAGCCAGTGAGACTTCCTTTTGTGAAACCCAGTAATCACTGCTTGACATGTTGTGCCTAAGTTGAGTCAGAATTGGGCATTTAAGTCTGACTTTTCTGGGATGGTTTTATGAAATACTCCCTGGGGGACAGAACAGGATGTAAACAGGATGTAAAAAGGGGACCAGACAATGAGGGAACAGAAAACACTGACTCAAATACCACAGGGAGTAACTGCAAACAGGTGAGTGCAGTTAACAGAAACACTAACAGGTGCCGACAGGGACAGAGAAAGGTGAAGAAGCAAAACAAAACCAAACTACTCTAAAGTGATTAAAGCTACCAGAAAAAAAAAACCCTGGAAAGATGAGAAAGCTTTGGATACATCAACAAGCTAAGAATACATGAAATAGAAGAATCACCAATATTCAAGCTGCTCTGCGGAGATAAACTAAAAAAAACCTTCCATTCAAAGAAATGTCTTCAAACTTGGAAACAAGGTCCAGTGGATTGTTTTTTTTTTTACTTTTTTGGAATGACTCTGACCTGGATGACTGAGAATCTTTAACAGTCTATGTTTGATGATGTGGTAAACTCCTTTTCCTCATATGGAGCGTCCAAGGGTCAAACTGCTGTCCTGATTTCAACAATTTTTTGTTTTACTCAAGATGGAAAACAAGGAAATATCTGACTAATATGAGGAAAACATTCAAGAAGGAAATAAAATTAATAATTGCATGCAGTGCTGGAGAGTGCTACACTTTCTTTTTCTTACTGAGGTCTGAGTTTTTTTTAAACACATAAGCAATAATTTCAAATAAGCCCTTTTTGAGTGGAAAATATAACTTGCTTTTAACATTGTTTACTACTTTGATTCATCAGGAAAGCATTCCCGGGACAACGTGGCCGAAAGAAAGGACAAGATGAGACTAGGAATGTCCCTTACCTCCAACTCCAAAGATAGCAGCTTTGTGGTGAGTTTTATATATATATATATATATATACATATATATATATATGTATATATATAAAAGAGTTTAAATGTGATTAATGATGCCAGGATTTAATGAAGGAGGAGGGGGCCTTTTCTGGAAAAGTAGAACATTGAGCCAACGACTAAGGTGTGAATTACATTTAGGTTAGGGTTAGATATAATAGTGAGGTTTAGTTAAGGGTCATGGGTAAGCTGTAGACAGGGGAGGATTTACCATTAGGCAATACTAGTTAGCTGCCTAGGGCCCCAAGTTCCTGGGGGCCCCATAAAACCCTGTTTACATGTATGGTAAAATCAACTATTCCTTATTTGTGCATTAATTATGTTTTTGATAAAAATCCTTATCCTTATAGACAGCATGAAAAGTCAGTTGAGTACAAAACAGAGAGAAAAACAACAAGAAAAGGGACAAGAAGAGAGGGACAAAACCTAGAACAGATACTGGATGTCTATTCTATTAACATTTCTCGAATCAGGACCTCCCAGGTGAAAACAAGGAAAAAAACAAAGAAAAAAGGAGAGGTGAGTTAAATCTATGCTCTCCTATTTATTGACTAGTATAGGCAGAAAGCTTGTGCTGGTCCCTAAATTAATTTAAGAGGTTCATTCATTTTTTGTTACCGGATTGTTCTGCAGCATAAATTGGCATCTTCAGATGAAAGGAGCTGTCAGGGCTGGCTTGGAGCAAGGAATCATTAAGAGTAATCTGCTGAAGTAAAGTCACACCATAACTCGAGGTCACGGATTATAAGTATTGTATCATTATGAATGATGCAACTAAAATAAATAAGTACCTATATGTGAAGGGACCGTTGTAGTCGTCTTATTGATATGTTGCCAAGTTGCAGTTCGCCTGAGCCTGAAGGGCTGGGATGTTGAGAAAAAAGGCCTGAGTCCAGAGCGACTGTATTGAGATCTCAATGTTGTTTATCTCCGGAGAAAGAAACAGAGCAGGTTGGCTCTGTGTTGATTTTGTTAGACCAAAAGTTGCTAAAAAGAGTTAAAAAGTGCATGCAAATTACTTTAAATTGGCTGCTTGGGTCTATGAAGTTAGAAAAAGGATGTGCACATGAAACTAGTTGCCATGGCATGAAGGAATGAATTTTGGGTGCTTGAAGAGCTCTGAGGTTTGTGATTCTGTATGACCGGTGCTGTTTGACGTGTGTTTGGTGATAAAAAATCTAAGTGTGCACTAAAAAACATCTGTTTAAATTCAAACCTGCTTTCAGATCTGTAATCAGATCTGCCCAATCACTGTAACTTAATCAGACTGAAACAGTGTAAATTAAGATCTAGTCTCCAAAATTGATTGAGAATTAAAACACCCTTTCCAAAGTGTCCCAGAGGACATAAAAGGTGAAAATAAAAGGAGGTAACAAGAGTCTAACCATAAGGAAACAGAGCAAAAAGTGAAAAATAATTGGATAAATAAGTCTACATAAAACACTAAACAAAAAAAAGTAAACACTTTTATATCTGCAATTGGCGTCTGCTTTCACTTGTAATTGTTACTGTCACATTTTCTAATATTCACATATTCTAATAGCTGAGCTGCGTTGAAAAAAAGGGTGTCCATTGGTTTGTTCCAACAAAAAAAGGCTTAATTGTGCCCAATGTTAAAACATATTTGGTTGATAAGTTGTTAATTATTACAGAACAAATTGTTACATAAACTGTGAATATAAGAGATGTTTCAAATTTTGCAAGATGCTGTTTAAATGGTTCAAGCATGCTTAGTGTGAGGGATTGCTGAAGAGTCAATGAGTCGATGCAATCAGCTGGTTTTCCTAAGATAGGAAACTTTGAATCAATCTGACAGGATGATCTGGTGAAATGGTAGGTGCCTTGATATGACATGATGTGTATTGGAGCTATAGAAATAAACTGAAATTAGACTGAGTTGAATTGAATTATCATTATGATATTTCAATGTTTGTGGAGAGTCAGGAGAAGAAGGCAGCCTTTGGTGAATTTACTTGACAGTCTGCTTTTGGGAAGTGGATGCGACAAACGATAGTCTAATCAGGGCTTCCAGATGCAGGAAACAGCAACAGACGTTGAGGTTCATCCCACTGCTAAGCAGAATCATCACCAGTTAAGTTGTGCGTACCATTAACACTCAGCAGTTATCTTAGTTCCCGTGCTCGGACTGATTTCTGCACGGTTTTAAAAGGGTAGAGGAAATGGCACTACAGTATAGAAACAGTGAATCGTGTTAAGAGAACAGATTCCATCCTAAAAACAAAAGCAATTGTAAGGGTGCAGAGTGACTAGATTAATCAAATCAAAGACAGATTCCCATAAAAGGGAAAACTTTTCTACAATTCCAGTTTTTTTTTTTACCTAGCCGCAGGTGCGATTCACAGCTGAGTGCAAAGCTGCAAGTCCAAGTCTATGGTTCTGGTTCTTGACCAGAAAAAGGTGGCTTGTCCACTTCAGGTTGGAAGAGAGTACATGCCTCCAGTAGAAAAGTTCAAGCATCTTCCAAACTTTTTTTTCTAGATTTGGATTGCACAATTATTATTTTTTTGACTGAATTTATAAAAATCCTGCTTAAACAGCTTGATTGACATAGATGTGTTAAGTAAAGCTCTGTGTTTCAACCTTGTAGCTTTTGTCCAGTTCTTTTTCTGAGAAGAAATCCCTCTCAGGACAAACTCTTTCAGTAAGCCTCATAATGTACATAACCAGAAGACAAGAGATGACAACAGATTCTGGCAGAAATCAGACAGGTTGGTCTGCAGGACTGTGGTCCCACAGGGAACAGTGCTGGCACCGTTCCTCTTCACCCTCCAGCAGTGTTGGGCACGTTACTTTGAAAAAGTAATTAGTTATAGTTACTAGTTACTGAGTATAGTGGAGTTACTGAGTTACTCCACAATAAAAGTAACTAGTTACTAGTAAAAGTAACTATTGCGTTACTTTTGCGTTTCTCGCCCCTGTGACCCTCACGACCCGGCACCCACCTTCTCGCCGTGTGTTTCAAAAATCAGCCTAATAGAGTGGACGACAAATACAAGAACCTGCAGAGAGTTTTGCATTTATTGAAATATTAGGGATTAACAGACTCACACATTATCAATTTTAATAATCCTAACAAATCTTTCCGCAGAGCTGTGGTCCTCTTTGGTCTCACGAATGTGGAAGTTCTCTGTACAGCACTGGAATCTGCCTCAGAGCCAACCGCAACTTCAGACTCACCCAGACTATTGCTCCTGCTCTACAGAGTGAGAATCAATCAATCCATCCATCCATCCATCCATCAATCCATCCATCCATCCATCCATCCATCCATCCATCCATCCATCCATCCATCCATCCATCCATCCATCCATCCATCCATCCATCCATCCATCCATCCATCCATCCATCCTTCATTCCTCTATCCATTTGCCGTATCTTGATTTCCTCCTGTAGGGTGTGAGACATTTATGGACATCGTTATTGTTCTGGATGGTTCCAACTCCATTTATCCTTGGTCGGAGGTGCAGGACTTTATCACAACAATCTTGCAGAAGTTCTACATTGGCCCGGGTCAGACACAGGTTTGTACCAAAGCACACAACCAGGGTTAAAGCTGTATCAAAGCTGGGTGTATCATTATCTTATAATTTCAAATATTGATCCAATAAATAGCAGCCACAGTGAGACGTTACGTGTGTATTTTGCATCACTCGTTACATGTTTACCTCTTTGGGAAATTCTTTATTCAGAAGGTAATACCAAACATGTGATTTGATTGTAGGTGGGAATTGTTCAGTATGGCTCCACAGTGGTCCATGAGTTTAGTTTAGGTGAATACCAGACAGTGAAGGATGTGGTCGAAGCTGCTAAGAACATTGACCAACGCGGTGGAGAGGAGACAAGGACAGCACTGGGGATCAATGTGGCACGGTACGATGCACCACTATTAAATAAGTATGTTTCACCATGCTCAAATATTACTTCTGAATTTTATGAGTCCTATACTTTTAATTGGTAGACCGTGCTTTTGGTGGAACATGGTTAAATTTGCATTCCATCAAGTGTTCAGATTGTGGCAAAAATCTAAATCTAATATGTAGTTTTCTTAGTGCACTCTTTGACAAATACTTATATTTGTTTACGAAGTGAATGAATGAATAAATGCAAGAATGCTTAATATGATACAGAGTATCTATAGAACATCTTTTCATTTTCCTCCAGGTTGGAGGCCTTTCAGCGGGGCGGCAGGCCAGGAGCTCAGAAAGTGATGATTGTGATCACAGACGGTGAATCGCATGACAGTCCTCATTTGATGGAAGCTGTCAGTCAAAGCAAGGATGACAATATCACCATGTATGCTATTGCTGTGAGTCGCATCTAATACTTTTACAATTTAACATATGTTTCCAATCAAAGTCAGAGGCAGAGATGGGGGATCTGGAGTCAACATATCATCGCTATGTCATGTATTTGTTTTGCCCAGTTATTCAACCAGGTGAGTCCAATCTTGTTTCACCTGTGCAGATTTATGGTGTCACAATTATTTCAAAACGCCCGTTAGCAAAATAAACATACTCGTATGTACTGTATGTTAAACTACTTCTAAGCATGCTTTATATACCACTGCACAACAAAACCACACATGCACGATAAACTGCCACTCTGAGAGGAGAAAATCACTCTCCATGCTCGCCAGCTCCTCCCAGGCGCACTTGGGATAGTGCTCGGGATCTCACCACGGGCAGGATTTGCTATCCAGAGGTCACGCTTGAGGAGGGCTGCTCTCTTGAAAGCATCCTTGCCCTTTGACTTATTTTCTCCCCGCATAAAGGAAAATGTGTTTTGACAGGTTGGGCGGAGTCAAACCTCTTCTGTAAGTCTCCTCCTGATTGGGTCTTGCAGACATGATCACATGGGAAGTAGCGTCAGCAAGCCTTTGACTGACAGCTGGTCAATCATAAGTGAAGACGACGGCAGGAGACGAGACAGTGGCGGAGGCTTCTTCAACGTTTTTGGTACATGGGGTAAGTAGTAAGCATCAGTCAAAGGCTTCCAGACACTACTTCCCAGTAGATAAACCATGCTCAGAAGTAGTTTAACTAAGTAGTTTAAATTTTGCTTGAGGGCATTTTAAAATAACGTGACGCAATACAGATTGGACTCACTTGGTTCAGTGGCTGAGCAGAACAAATACATGACATAGCGATGACTTGTTGAGTCCTCTGGTCAGAGGTGATGCTTCTTAGCGAGCAGAAGGTGTCATGATTTATGGATGCTAGTTGAATCTAGAACAGCCACAAACACAAGCCAAGCAGCAGATTAATAAATTTTTATTTGACCTTCTTACAACTAAAAACACGATAATCAAGAGCGACTGGAATCCAAAACACAAAACACTTCAGGGAGCTCTGTGAAAGGTAGGTGGAGGAAAAAGCTGAATATTAAATGGTTATATTAGGCCAACTTCTATCTACAAGAGGAAAGTCTGGAGATTTTAGGTCTGCAGTCTTAAGGGCTGTGCAACCTCCCGCAGTAGTTTGTCACAGTTTTCTTGTAGCACGTCACGTGCATAACGTGCAAAATATCTGCATAACGTGACGTTATGCAGATATTTTGTGATTTATGAAGCGAGTTCTGTGCTATGTTATTCCACAATGCAAGAAGGACAATCACCAACCAGCTAGTGTCCGTGTGTCGGTTTGACAAACTTGTTCGCCATCTACAACCCCTCATCCAATGCCGGACGACACACATCCATCCAGTGAACACCCATCAGTGTTCTTGAAAAACTGGCTGTGGTGCTGCGTGTTTTGGCTTCGAGTGCAAACCAAGAGACTGTCGCACAAAGCTACAAACTAGCGTACTGTACGGTGTCTGATATAGTGTCCCCAGTGTGCCAGGCGTTGTGGACGGCACTACAGCCAGAGTTTCTGTCATTAGGTACCGAACCGGAAATATGCATAGAGTGGATGTAGAATTCACCAATCAGAGGCCTCCTTTCTCTCCTTCCTGCAATTCTATCTACGGCACTGTCTGTGGTCACCTACAATTTTGGGGAGGTGCACCAGAGTGTCTGCGTAAGGGGGGGCATATCTGCGTTAACTGCGACACACACAGAGACCACCTGGTTTCTGAGCATAAATCAGGCTTTACCCCGCATCATCAATTCCTTTCCTCAGGCCAAACTTTGTTTTTAGCTCCAGGCTTCCTGGAGAACGGCTGCTTTGATGACTTTGACTCTTTTGGACGACCTTCAGCTTTCCCCTGATGGATCACAAGCTGTGAGCAGGACAGATCTGAGGCCCAAGATTGGCTGCTAATTTTGACCCTGGTAGTTTGGGAGTTTGTGAAAGAATAGTAAATGAAAGCATCCAAACTAGATCTAAAATGTTTGGAAAGGTTGTGTTAAGAGTTTGTTGATGGTTGGTACCACCGGAAGGTCTGTCTGAACTCCCTTACCTTGACCAGAACAGACTGAGGCCGACCCATCTCAGACCTCAGTGGAGCTTCAGTTCATCCTCAGCGTGGCCTTGATGACAGCATATCTGCGTTGACTGCGATGCAGACGACCTGGTTTCTGAGCATAAATAAGGCTTTACTCAGCGATTCAAAGGGATGAGTGATGGATTAGAGTTGGATGGGGTGCTGGTGGAGGTTGGAGAGTGGAGAGGTATTGGCAATATTGCGATAGGCGAGCTAGGCAATTGCCTAGGGCGACAAATGTGTTGGGGACGCCCTCTATAGCGTCGCCCTTAGGCTTACTTCCCATTAATCATAGAATTAGAGAAAAAAAGCGAATTAAACCGGTTATGAAGCGTCCGTCAGTTTGACTTAACCTTACGTATATATAAATAGCAAAATATGAACAAATAAATATACCACCGTTTTTTTATTTATTTTTTCACATTTAAGAGAAAATCGGAAAAGATTCTGATCACTTTTCAAGCGCCCTCCAACCCGGAAGTCGTGACGTCAATCACTGCAGCATGTACACCAATATTTTGGAATGAAATTGTAAGCAAACAGATATTAAAAGTAAAACAAGTGAAGTCTGGCAGTTAACTTTGCTCGCGACTCGAGGATGGCTGAACGGAAAAGACTCCTCCTCCTCCTCCTGCCGCCGCAGTCGGCCCGTCTTAATCATCCACTCAGAGTACCACTGGTAAGCGCACACAGACTTTGTAGCTTGTCCGGTCAGTTAAAAATATTAATTGTGAAATCCGTCTTGTAATCGGAAGCATACAAGCTAGTTAGCTTGAAAAGTAAATAAAGTTTCAGACGTGCTGCGTGATGATGTGTTCAGATTGGCTCAGTAAAACGACAATTAGGTTATCATGATGCGTTCAAGTGTAACATAAAGAAAACGGGAAATTTTGTTTTTGGCGAGAAACATGAGTAATACAGTTGTATATTGCTCTATATATAATTAAACTACTGATGCCAACATTTATTAAAAATTACATTTAATTTAAAATACAATTATTTATTTGTTAAATATTTTCCTAATCACTAAAAACATGATGAAAAGTGACAGTAGACAATACATTAACCAACAATTGTGAAAATATATTCTAGTTAGTTTTATGTCATTTCGAAGTGGCCTATTACATTAGCCATGTTTATTGAAGGCTAGAAACGTTTTTGTTATGCTCACTTGTTAAGCAATAGAAGCAATACCAGTTCTGTTAATAAAATTTTGTTGCATCGTCTTTCCACCAAATAACAGAAAAGTATCGATAGTGGTATCGATAAAGACTCGGATCGATAAGGAGTATCGATAAAGGTATCGATATCAATAAATATTAACGATCCCCATCCCTAATGTTGACATTTTTTTCTCAGAATTATGTGCTATATTATTAGCTTGAGAATGGGTAGAAGATACTAATATAAATAAAATATTTTGTAGTGATTATCTGCATTGAGTATTCAAAAGGGATGTACAAATAATCATCAAAATATATGAAGTTATGGCTGTTCATCATAGAATATGTGAAAAAAAAAAACCCAACATCTTCAAACTTTTAATTTTGTAATGGTATTCATAAAAGCACTTTTGTTTGTAGAGGGTTAATCCTTTCTTTAATCACTAATCAATGTCAGAAATCAGGGTAAATATACCTGATATATTTTATTTAGAGGAAAATTTTGCTTATCTCATTTCTATTTATGTTCAAATGATTTAATTGAACTGGAACAGAAAATTTTATTTAATGTTTATCAATTACTTTTTTATGTAGTCCTTGGTTGAAGAATTTCTTAAATTTATTATTTTTTATTGTTATTTGGTAATTTCTGAAATTGATTTATTTAATATTTGTTTAATGTGTGTTAAATTTGTTAATTGTCTGAAATAAATTCATTCAATGATTCAATCCAGTTTTTTAATTATACTTTACCTAAGTGTCCTTACAGATGGTTAAAAGTGTTTTTGCACAGTCCTAACTTTGAGTGTGTAATAAATTATTTAAAATAATAAAAAAGAAAAGGTACTGAAACCTATTCTGGTATTTGTCTATGCATCACTCCATGCTAAGTTACAGTTTTTTCTGAATGCTTAAACACAACCTTGATTCTTATAGCACAATTTCTAAAACTATTAATACTTATAGCAAATCCACTCACTGAGTTCACAAAACTAAAAGAACAAACACTGCTTTGCACTCAATTTGCAATTTTGTAACACACACTTTGCACAACTGTAGGCACAATTCACCGCACAGCACTCTTTGTGGAACTGTAAACACAACTCAATGAAGCACTAAACAGATGCTGAAAACAGTACTGGTATTTCGCACGGCAAAAGTGAGGGGGGGGGGGCGCAAAACTCAATCTCGCCTAGGGCAACCAAAGGGCTAGAACCGGACCTGGGCAAGGAGCTTGGTGGCTTGGGTTAACATTGGAGACTTGGCGAAGAAGCTTGGAAGAGGTAAACCTGTTTACCCGCTAACCTCTTTCGATCAGCATACTGTTTGTTTATAAAACAGGCTTCTTAAAGGGCTGTCTGGGTCTGGTTTCAGATGTTTTGACAGGTCTGTGAAAGATCCTGAGCAGAAGACGTTGGTTAGGGGATGAAAACTTGAGGATAAATAAGCCTTGGTTCCCAGGACTGAACAGAACTCTTCCCAGACATGAGAGTTTAATTGCGGGCCATGATCAGAAAAGGGGAGAAAAGGGGTTAAGCAGTTTCTGTGGCAGAGGGAAGCTTGGACACAGCGATTAGGTGGCAGGCGTTGGAGAAACATTGAGAGAAACTCAATGAGAATTCAATTTTTTGTTGGGAGGCCAGAAAGGAAATCTAGTGCAATATGTAACCATGCACAACCAGGAAACGGTTGCAGTTGTAAGAGACCACATGAGAGTTGTTATTATGAGCATATAGGGTACAAGCTGAGAAAAAAATCTGCCACATCCTTATTCACAGAAGCCCATCAGAAATGTTCAAGCCACTAACTTTTCAAGCAAGCAAACTAGTTCAAGGGGCCAGATTATTGAAAGCCTTTGGCCTGTCTCTGATCCTGTTTCTGCCCCAGGGCTTCTTTTCTTTACTCCGCCCTGGACAGAGTTCTCTGATATCTGGTCATTAATGTTTTTGCCTCCTGACCACCACCTCTTGCCTAGACCTATGATCTGTAAGCCCGATTCTGCTTCTACGATTTCTTCTGTGCCAAGTTTATGGATTCTCACCTTACCCTCAAATTCTGCCGTATGGCTCTGCTTATTTTGCTCTGACCCTTTCTGTTCGTGGACCAATGGGCTCTGTCTCTCTGCTCTCAGATCTGCAGAGAAACCTAAAACAAATTCCTTCCCTTCCTCACAATATGAGAAGTTAAGTGGCCTTTTCTCTGGTCGAACTATAAAAATCAAGAATCGATGCAGTCACTGACACAGTCTTTCCTTTTCAGAGGTTCCTGTCTCTCCTGTTGAGTAGTTTCCTGTACCATTTGGTGAAATATATCTTTCAATCATTCTCTATTGTGTCTGGCTAAATTTTGTGTCACTTGTCACTTTACAGCCCCCACCAATGTATGGAATTAATATCGTGGAACACTTTGAATAAACAAACTGAACTTGACTGTATTGTTTGGTGAGAGGAATCAAAGACTAGTTCATGCAATGATCCACCTGGCAGCTGATTTTAGATTATTTAAACTTCCCTGTTCTGATGAGGCCCAGAGAGTTTCCGAATATGCTGTGCACAGTTTCGATCTGCACAGGAGGTGTTTTTATGCATGAGTTTGGATATTGAATATTTTTATATAACCTCAGTAGTCCCACCTTCAGTAAAATGTCGTTAATGTATGTCAGTATGGCTAAGGTGGAAAAGGTGGAAGGTTAATAATATAGTTTTTAATGTTGAAACTGAGAGAAAATACAGTAGCAGCCATTCAAAATGGCCCTTCCCAGTCAAACGCAAACCGAATGGCAGCCCATTACCCTGCAACTGTCAGCAAAATCCCCTCCAACTTCCAGCCACTGCAGTGACCCCTCTTTTACTCTTATTCCACCCTTTCACTGAATTATGGCTGATTTATAGTCAGAAACCAGGTCCCCTGCGTGCGGTTCACAATTAAAAGCATATATGCCCCCCCACCTCCGCAAACACTCTGCTGCACCTCCCCAAAATGGTAGCTCACCACAGACAGTGCTGCAGACAGGAGGCCTCTGATTGGTCAGATCTCCATCCGCCCTACAATATGCGTATTTCCTGTTTGGTTCCTTACCGGCTTGTTTTGTTTGTCTGACTGCCATTGTGGAAACGACTGGTGAAGATGGACCAGCTAGAAGAGCGAGGTGCGCGAGAACGCTGGGACACTTTTTCCACCTGGATCCCCGTTCTTTTTGGCCCTCATCTTCCTCCGTTGTTGTACAACCTTGCTCCTACCTCCTTACCGCCTCGGCCGTATCTAGACCCACAGCGAGTTCCTAATTGGCCCTCTGGTGTTGTGGCGTGGAATAACATAGCACAGACCATACTTCAATATTGGGCAGAAATAAAAAAAAACTACAACAAGCTCACTGCGACACACTGCTGCGGGACGATAACCAGCCCTTTACAGGAGTAACAACGAGATGGCGCTTCCGCTTAGATCCTAATGTCCACAAATTATAAAGAAAGCATATTTTAGTACAAATATTGATGTTTAAAAAGTAATTTTAGGAGACCAGCCAAGTGCCCTTCAAGGAAGGTGGGGAAATTTTGAATGACTACTACTGTACGCACACATGGACCATTGACCAATAGGGGTGTAATATGGGAAAAGGAAAAATGCTGAGTGGATAAAAGGTTAAGAAATAAATAAATAATACATTTCCATCCAAGCTGTCGTGTCTCAAACTCCGACACAGAATTTCTGCTCACTTCTTCCCTTTTTCCATCAAACTAAGACAATGTTTATTATTTTTAATGAATTTATTATCTTTGGGCTCACTACCTCTTACTTTTGTGCACTTTCAGGTTCTGGGTTATTACAACCGACGAGGGATTAACCCTGAGGCCTTTCTTAAAGAAATCCGGTTTATTGCCAGTGACCCTGATGAGGAACACTTCTTCAAAGTTACAGATGAATCTGCTCTGAAAGATATTGTAGACGCCCTGGGAGAACGGATTTTCTCTTTGGAAGGTCAGCTATCACGACATTTCCTTTGGTTTATGTTTTTTTTTCTTGTAGGTAAACAGTGTTTTATCTATTTTCTGTGTGGTTTATAGGCATTAGCAGTCAGGGTCGGGGCTTTGGTCTACAGATGGCTCAAGCTGGTTTTTCATCACTTTTAGTCAACGTAAGTGGCTCTTATTAAGATTTACCTAATCTTTTCTGAAATATAACCAACTTTATCACTGGTGACGTTGTTGAGAGATTGATTAGCTGAGCAGCTCCCAGTTTAAATTCATTAGGTTAAAAAGGAAAACGCTTACCTTTTCACATCAGCTGATGCGTGTTAAGGATGGATTATAACCACAATCATTGGCTTATTTCCCATTGGTCAGCTCCAAATGAGTTGGAGGTGAATGTGTATGTAAGAGATGACCACCAGAGACCTGCAGATGTTCCTCTCTACATTTTAATATTTGTATCTATCTGACCGATCTCAGTTTTCACGTTAATGATAAATCTTCCTCAAGGTCCAGATTTACCTGCGGACAGAATCTGTTAGTTTAATCTCTAACGTTCTGCTCTCTCTCTGTTTTTTCTCATAGTAGCTTCATCTGGTCTGTTCCTGTTTGGCTGTGACTCCATCCTGGAGAGAAATATCAGCTGTGCTGCTGCCATCAACACCTTTGTTTCTAGATGTTGGAGCTTAGCCTGTTTTCCAGTGTAGTCCTGTTTCTCTGACTGTGACTAACTGGATGTGCTCTCTTCATCCTCTGACATGGGAGCTGGCTCGGAGCTCGTCTGCCTGGCTGTGTGTTTCCTGGTTGACAGTTGCCTTTTGTATCTATGCTTCTTTTTTTATGTCTGCTTCTGTCTCCTTGAACCCCAGTCGGCCTCAGCAGATGGTCGCTCACACTGAGCCTGGTTCTGCTGGAGGTTTCTTCCTGTTCAAAGGGAGTGTTTTCCTCTTCACTGTCGCTACAAGCATGCTTAGTGTGAGGGATTGCTGAAGAGTCAATGAGTCGATGCAATCAGCCGGTTTTCCTTAGATAGAAATCTTTCAATCAATCTGACTGGATGATCTGGTGAACTGGAAAGTGAGCTGAGATGGCAAAGTATGAATCGACACTATAGAAATAAACTGAATTGAATTGAAACATTTGATTAATGATTCAGATGGCTAAAATGTATCTCTAATTATTACTCTTATTCAATGCCAGTTCACAAATCATCTGAAGGCCCTTCTCAAAGACTGCCAATCATCCACACGGATTGAAGTTTTATATCTAAATAAACCCAGGAGATTCCAATGTATAATTGACTTTGCAGAATTCACCCCTCCTGATTCATCAGGTCAGCCACTGGATGACCCTGAATACCACCATGAATTCAAGTCTTTGAAAGGGCCTGGTCAAAGTGAGTAATCAATCGTGTGGAAGGATTCAGTAGACCTCTTCCAGGATGAAACCTCCAGCAATGTATCTAGGAATATTTTTTGTTTCTTATATCTGTTTTTTATCCAAAGGAGATCACAATTCACTTATTTCCATTTAAACTGAAGAAGTGGAAACACAGAGCTCTGAAACAGAGTCCAGATGGTTTTCCTGAACGTTAAGCTGCCAACAAAACATTTAAAGACAATGCTGCAAAACAGCTGCAGCTTCACATCCGTGAGACAGACACAGAAAGGAAAACAGTTGAATTAGGCCACCATGGGGAACGGTCACCAATCAGAAATTTTTTTGGAAATGGGTGCAAGCATTTTTCTTTCATTTAGATTTCCCCCCCTCTAAATAGATCCAAAACCTTGCTAGATCTAGACTCCACATTTTCTATGTGCTGCCAACTATTTACTCATTCTGAGTCATCTCTGCATCACGTCTTTGCAGATGCAATGATTTAATGCTTTCAGTATCTGCAAGGCTGCCAGAGTCTGAGCTCATCTGCTCACACGTTTTATTCTGTTCATCTCTAACTGAAGAGACGTCCAGGTTTTTTCTGCTCTCTGCCTAAATACTGGAGGGGATTGAAAGACGGTTTTAGTTTTACTCTCCAACGAGTGACGCTCGGTGTATAAATGTAAGGTTCTGTTTTCAGGACGGGGTTCTGCTTGGAGCCGTCGGTGCCTATGACTGGAACGGTGCCGTGCTGAAAGAAACCAAACGTGGTAAAGTTGTTTCACCAAAATCATCTTACAAAGACGAGTTTCCGGAAGCCATGAAGAACCATGCTGCTTATTTGGGTAATAGCAATGACTTTGAATCAGATGAAGTTTAAAGTTATTCAGTTTCTAAAATAAAGAATTTACGCAGGAACTGATCCAAATGATAAATGAAGTTAAATTAAAAATTAAATATCAGGATTCCTTACAAAAAAAGCAGCATAGTCCTGCCTTGGTTTTGACATGAACTCTACTAAAGGAATATTACGGTCAGCGAGGAATAATCAATGGATCATTATTTATACCTAAAATGAATACGTCCTGGGGTCTTTCTTTTCTTCTCATGCACTTAGTAGACACTTTCTCTCTTTGGACCCTCGGCCATTTTCAAAGAACCACAGTGAGTTTGAAGAAAAAAAAGATAGCTAACAGGACAAGCACATAGAATGGCCTTATGTTAAAATATCACCAGAATGATTGACATCTAGGAGGACCACTGATTGAGATGATCCACCCGGAAATAAAAGATCATCCTCCATGCCTTTAAGTACAGTAATCAATAAATAAACTTTGTTACTCTCCAAAACTTATCATGCCATAAAATTACAAGGCAGCTCTGGCCAGTACTATAAGATGCTTGATATTAAGATTAATCATTTTTAGCCTCTGGTGGGAATAAAATTTGCATGAATAATTTATCAGTGGAATCCTGTGCCACAACTTTTAAAATCTTTAATTTCAGGACAGGTGGTATTAAGCTTTCCAGAGTCAGAAGAATGAGAGATAATTCAATCATTTTGAATTCTTTTTCAGGTTATTCGGTGGAGGCAGTCGTTTCCTCTCGTGGTCCTCAGCTTTATATAGCTGGAGCTCCTAGATTCAACCACACTGGCAAAGTCATCATTTTTACCCTGAAGAACAATGGGAACCTCACTATCCTGCAGGCTCTTCTGGGACAGCAGGTCTGCTAAATGCCTACACATACATGTTGGCTTATTCTGTCTTTATCTGAATTGATTTCAATTCATTTTCTTTTCTATCACTGACAGTAAAAATCTAAACTTAACTATGACCAACACCAGTATTTTCCTAATCTGTAATCCTCCTGGCTAATAGAGGACCACAGTCAGGGGAGATTTACCATTAGGCAATACTATGCAGTTTCCTAAGGCCCCCAAGTTCCTGGGGGCCCCATAAAACTCTGTTTCCATGTATGGTTAATACAACTATTCCTTATTTGTTCACAGTAATTATGTTTTTGATAAAAATCCTTTGGCTAAAATGCCATCAGAACACTGATAATATTAAGTGTGTCTCAGCCCCCCCTTCAGTGTCCACCATATTGGATCAGTCCATTTGCTGCACATGTTCAGAAAAGGTCCAAACAGACAGCAGCAGACCATTTGAAAACAAACCATGCAAAGAGCAGTGTTGCCAACTTAGCGCTTTAGTCGCTATATTTAGCCACTTTTCAGACCCCTCTAGCACTTTGATTTCTAAAAAGCTCCTAGCGCCAAATCTAGAGACTTTTTTCTGCTACTGGATACTTTGGAGACAACATCTAAAAGCTCTCCAGAGCAAGTAGATTGGTAACCCCGCCTCCTGCTCTCCTCTACCTTGTCTGCTGTCATGATTCATGCAGCTAGTAAAAGGACTGGGTTACCATAAATCCTCTAATATTGGCCTGTATTCCATTAGCGGCCGGGTCTCTAATATTGGCCGGGCTCGCTGTCGGTGGAGCTAAATACTGGCCGGACTTGTATACAGGCCGGGGCTATAAGTAGAAACAACAATGTTCCTGGGCAGTCCTCAACAACTTGTGATAGTAACATACAAATACCACAGGGGGGCAATGTTTGCTAACAGAAATCCTTAAAAAGAACTCAAGAGATAAGTCTTATGTAATTGTTTTTCATTATTTTATTATGTCTGAATAATGTTCTGTGTACCATTATGGTAACTGTACTTTTTCAATAAATGAACCTAGTATTTTATAGGTTTAAAGAGACACAAAATCTCGTTTTTATTCATTCCACTGGTAGTCTGTTTTTATCAAATAGAAATAGAGGCGTGCCTCTAATTCTGGCCTCCTTCCAATAATAGCCTGGACCAAGATGCACCTGCATGAAATAAAGGCCCCGTCCTATATTAGAGAATTTACGGTATTTACTTTTGCCGTCGCCTTTTTAGAAACACAGGAAGGAGCAATCAGCTAAGTGAGCTTAGTGCTTGGAAAAAATCTTTCATTCCTTTAGAGACAGCATGAAAAGTCAGCTGAGTACAAAACATAGAGAGGAAAACAAGAAGAAAAGGGACAAGAAGAGAGGGACACAACCTAGAACAGATAATGGATGTCTATTCTATAAACATATCTCTATCTGTAAAATGGGTCTGTTTTATGTGTTCTCAATTCACAGGGCCCCCTGCCTGTCTTTGCCTAGGGCCCCACATTTCCTAAATCCGCCCCTGAGTTTACGCGTTTTTTGATTTTTTTACATTATTTTGCTGATATTTGTTGCAGTGGTCTTTCTTTTTTATTGAAGGAATCTGCTGCTGTTTACTAAAATCCTTTAATCTGAAGTTAAACGTTGACTTATTTGACTTGTAGGACATTTTCTCATCATTTATTCCAAACATTTTAATGTGATCAATCCAAACCAATTTACATTGCATTGCTTCTTAAGTAAAACAAAAAGTCACTTTCCCTAATAATTTGCCACTTTCTGCTATATTGCAACTTGCTTACAGTTATCTTATAACTTTTTTTGTGTCAATTAACCACTGCTGCTTCTAAAATCTAAAATAGAACATGTATCGTTTGTTTTTGTCAATTATTTAAAGGAATAGTACACCCAAAACATGATTAGCCTTCATTTTCTACTCACCTCCATGCTGAACAACACTCTGGAGTACTTTTTTGATATCTCAAATGCATCTGGAGATCTGGAAGGCTTCTTGCTGTCTGCTGACATTCAAATAATGGAGGTCTACGGTGCCCGAGACAGAAAGGTCCATAAAAGTCCACAAAAACGTGTCAATATTCCTCCATACTGCTCGTCCAATGTATTCCAAGTGTCCTGAGTGGGTAGCATCCAGAATTTACTCGAAACGAAGTCATTTAGAATGTTTTTAGAGCCTAAACAGTAGTGTATAGGATTTCCTGAAAGCGCGCACATGCGCGTTCACGAGCCTACGGAAGCCGGCAGACCAAACCAGTGCATTCAGCTCGGCAAAGAACTCATGCTCTTCCTCAACACTGAAGTCGTCAGACATTTTTCTTTCGTTGTTTCTTTCTTTGCACAGGTAAACGGCACATTTCTTCTTCTACGCTTGCATTATTGGAAGAGCAGCCGCTGAATGCGCACTTTCATCTGGTTTGGTCTGCCAAAAATTCTGGATGCTACCCCCTCAGGACACTTGGAATACATTGGACGACCAGTATGGAGAAATATTGACACGTTTTTTGTGGACTTTTATGGACCTTTCTGCCTCGGGCGCCATAGACCTCCATTATTTGAATGTCAGCAGACAGCAAGAAGCCTCCCAGATCTCCAGATGCATTTGAGATATCAAAAAAGTACTCCAGAGTGTTGTTCAGCATGGAGGTGAGTAGAAAATGAAGGCTTATCATGTTTTGGGTGTACTATTCCTTTAATGGCGAATGCATAAATTGAGATATTTCTGTTGTTTATTTGGTGTCTGTTTTTATCCCCCCAGATGAGAAACTGATTTCAGTTTAAGGCTGAAACAATTAATCTGAATTAATTGAGTATTCAGATAATCATCAGCTAATTTTGTAGTCAATTCATCGTTAACTGGAGTATAGAGACTCTAAAACCTGCCTTTAGCTGACAGAGCAACCATTTAGAGCAGGAATTACATAACAATAATAAAATAAAAATATAAATATGTATTCATCAATCTGCTCTATCCAGAACTGTGGAAAAGTGGAAAAGTTTTACTTAAACCTGGTTTAATTCTGTAAAAAATCTTGATTAAAGTCTGATTGCTATCTGTTTATTAATCAAAAAAATAATCAACATATAAATCGATTTGCAAAATACTCATCATTTGCAGCCCTATTTCAGTCTTTTTGAAAGTAAACCAGAGTAGTTTCTGGACCAAAGGCAAGTCTTTGTGGAACAACTTCCCCTCATTTTTAACTTTAAGGTAGAGTTAAGGTGGAAGGTTTTGATGTCTTCTTTTTGCATCTTAAAGGAAAATTCCAGTCAACAAGGAATAATCGATCGATCATTATTTATACCTAAAACTAATACGTGTGCGGTGATTCATATTTAAAGAACTTTCAGAAGTTTGTATTCTGAATATGAGCAGACTTTACCGGTTTGGATTCTGTGTCTGATTCTGGCATGACTTTAGTGTGTAAAGGCTTTGCAGGAAACCAGCAGGTATATGGTTTGAGTTAGAAGACAGAATAGGTTTCCCCTCAAATTCCTTCATCATGTTTATTTCCTGTGTTTTCTCTGTAAGATCGGTTCATATTTTGGGAGCGGACTGTTATCCATGGACATTGACGGAGATGGCCACACTGACCTTCTTTTGGTTGCAGCACCCATGTTCTACAACCAAGGCTGGGAGAGAGGAAGGGTTTATATTTACTCTCTCACCTATGAGGTAAGCCTTCATCTGCTACTTCCCAGCTCATGCTAACAGCTTATTTATCTATCAGGGGTCGGAAACCTGCGCCTCCGAAGCCGCATGCGGCTCTTTAGCACCCCCCCTTGCGGCTCCATAGAGCTTTTTCAAAAATTTATGAACATTTATTTTCTTTGTTTGTTTATTTTTATATGGTGCAGGTGGTCAAACAAACATAGTGTTTTCCAAAGCTATAAAAATTTGTATAATAAATAAATATTTTTTTCAAAGAAAATTTGCCTCATAGACTGCAGCAGGTTTCTGCGCGGTCCGGTGTGTCTCAGGCCATGGATCCCAAAAGGAAAAAACTTTCTGGAACTTTCTTCCACAAATCCTCAAAATAAAAATGACACACCAAGGAACGCTGGTGATGGAGGATGTGGGATTTCAGGGTTGGAGAGCTCTGCTCTGATGGATGTCAGTTCCTGTTGGTTCCTCATCACTCAATCAGCTCCTCCCATCAGAAACACGTCCACCATAGAAAGAATCCTTTATTGTGTTTCTATAATTTTATTAATGTAATAAAACCTAAACCGAGCGGTGAAGGGAGGTGAAGTGGTGAGAGCGTTCACTGCTCCTCCATCACCTCATAGCAGTTTGGGTCGCCAACCCCTGACCTAGAGCATCCATTTAAATAGCTTAATGCTAACCACCTGTTGAGATTAACAGGTGGTAGGCATTAAGCTATTTAATTGTATCAATAACACATGTTTATGTGTTGGTAAATGACGTAGTCTGCAGATTCAAACTAGTTCTAAAAGAAATAAACCTTTTTGGTATAAAACAGAAAACCAAAATAACTGCAACTTATAATGCAAGATTGATGCACATATTGCTGATTTCCACAATTTACGTTTGGATGTTTCTCTAAGCTAAAACATTTACACGTCCCTAGTCATTCTTTATCTTCCACGGCATCCTGGAAGTGTCCCACCATCCTCAAAACTCTCGCCTGGGTTCAGCAATGGCACAAATAGCAGACATGAATGGAGATGGATTTAAGGAGCTGGTGGTGGGAGCTCCTCTGGAAGATGACCATCAGGGGGCGATCTACATCTTTCACAGCCACGGCAAGATGATAGGATCACAATACAAACAGGTAAATCCCTTTAAGATATTCTTTATAGTTACATATAACAATCCTGTTTATAACTGCAGACCAAGAGACAGGAGGAGTCCTAGTTGATCATGGATGATGCCAATCTCTAGCCAATTGATGGACACTTCAGATGGCTTCATTTTAGGTCTTTGGGTTAGTTAAAAGACGCAGTATATATATATATATATATATATTACTAAAAAAATTAAAGGAACTCTTTGTAACCAGAGTATAGCATAGAGGCTTAGTAGCAGAGAGGGTTATTAATCAGTTTCAGCTGCTTTGGTGTTAATGAAATTAGCAACAGGTGCACTAGAGGGGCAACGACGAGACAACAATCATGAATGGTTTTACGACAATACATGTGGCGAGAGTATGAAGGCAGTTCCTGCATACCGGATGTGTCACAACGAGCCACCGGATGTGTCACAACGAGCCACCGGAAGTGTCAGAACGAGCCACCGGAAGTGTCGGAACGAGCCACCGGAAGCGTCAAAACGAGCCACCGGGAGCGTCAGAACCAGCCACCGGAACTGTCAGAACGAGCCAGGGGAGGTGTCACAACGAGCCACTTGAGGCGTTGCAACAAGCCACCGGAAGTGTCAGAACGAGCCAGGGGAGGTGTCACAACGAGCCACTTGAGGCGTCGCAACAAGCCACCGGAGCCGTCGCAACGAGCCACCGGAGCCGTCGCAATGAGCCACCGGAGCCGTCGCAATGAGCCACCGGATCCGTAGCAACAAGCCACCGGAACCGTCGCAACGAGCCACCAGAGCCGTCACAACGAGCCACCAGAGCCGTCGCAACGAGCCACCGGATGCGTAGCAACGAGCCACCAGAGCCGTCGCCACGAGCCACCGGAGACGTCGCCATGAGCCACCGGAGGCGTCGCCACAAGCTACCGGATGCGTCGCAATGAGCCACCGGAAGTGTCAGAACGAACCAGGGGAGGTGTCACAACGAGCCACTTGAGGCGTCACAACGAGCCACCGGAAGTGGTGGCATGCAGCCGACATGCCAGCCCATACCATAAATCCAGACTAAATCCAAATTGGAATTTATATTATAAAAATTTGCCGATTTGTCTGGTTGGCAAGAAAAACACAGAAAACGATTAATTTTCTTTTTTCAGTAATAAAGAATGACACACTCTGGCTTTATTGTGCTAATATTAGACAATTGGTTCATCCAGGTCTGTTCTTGAATAAAAGTAACTGGGTGATTATTTTTCTATTTAAAATCAAATGAAACTAGCAGCAAATCCATGAATAATGAAAGGTTAAAGAAAAAGTATTGCACCTCGCATCTTTAGTGTGTCACATTTTTAATGGTTTTAATTGTTTGACTGATCAATGTATAATATATTGCAGGATGATACACTTTCTTATTTTTAATGATAATAGTGATTATTTTTTGTCTTTCTCTTCCAGCGTCTTTCTGGAGCTGGTTTTTCGACAGGTCTGCAGTATTTTGGTCAAAGTCTTCACGGAGTTCTTGACGTCAATGGAGACGGGCTTGTTGATTTAGCAGTGGGAGCACTGGGGGCTGCAGTCATTATCTGGTAAAAGTGAATGTGTCATGATGGGTTCTCTAAGAGGGACCCAAGTATGCAGAACACCACTGACGGACACAAGAATAAAAGTTCAAAAGGTTTATTTGAGTACAAACACACAGAATGTACTGGTTCTGGTTTGGGCCTGGACACTGGTTCACCGGAGTCTGCGAGGGAGACAGTTCAGTTAGCGTTGCAAGCTGAAGCTTGATTTTCTTGAAGATTACTAATTGTACCTTGAGGGTTCTTGTGGTTAGCTTTGGGAGAGTCACTGTTGGATCTGGAGAGGAGTTGATCAGCAGAGTCCGCTTGCTGCTTCAGCGTCTCACGTCTTAGAATGAACAGACCTTGGCTTAGGGGTTTCCAGCTCTTAGTCCTGAGCTGCAAGGAAGTTCTCTATGATTCTTCAGGTTTGGCTCAGAGGGTCGGCTCGGCAGGTTAGCTCTTCCAGAGCTTCACGAAGGAGACACTGGTTTCCAGGAAGACAGAGACAACGATTAGAATCCAGGGTGGATTCAAAGTCACAAAGTTTCTCAGAGAATCTAGGCTTAGGCGTTGACCAACTGGATCAACACTGCGGCGTTGAGGCAAGGTCTGAAGACAGCTTATATAGTGGATCCTCTGATGATCTTGATGGGCTGCAGCTGTGCAGGAGGCTCCCTCAGAAGGATCCACGGCGGACTCTGCTGGAGAAGGGTGGAACTTCTCCAGCTCCCAACAGAATGCAGACCTCATCATGCTGCTAGTCGCTTTATTCACTGCGTTAATGATACGAACTACTATTCTGCTTAAAACAATCGACAGGTAGCCTAGTAAACTAGCCCCACCCAAAAGCGGCCAAAATCATTTTTGCCTGCGAGTGGTCTAGCCTCGATCAATGCCCCAGGCGCTAAAACTGGCAGGCCATCACAACTCAGATGTGTTTTGAATTTTTGGATACAAAGGGGGTGGGGTTTTGAGGGTGTGACGACAAAGCCGCACAACGCTGGTGAAAGCGCAACAAGGAAGATGGCAACAGTTCACGTTTGACTCAGCTTTGGAATCAGTTTTGGAAGGATTAGACTTGGGGGGGTTTTGTTGAAACGTGAAAAGGAAGAGGCTCTACGCTCATTCATTTTTAAGAAGGACGTATTCGCCGTTTTACCAACAGGCTGTTTGTTTCCACTCCCCCACCAGCTTGCTGTCGCGCTTCCTACGTCACAGTCAGTTGCCCTCATTGGTCAGAGCGTTGGCCAATAGGCGCAGACATGGTTTGAAAAACAACGGGTTGTTCTCATCAACAATCTTCCGATGTCTCATTCATCGGGGCCAGAATAAATTACATATTTAATCTCACATTTAGTCTGGTTTATCAGGCTAATCGACAGTGGAACTAAAGAAAAAAATCTATATGATTATATAGGTCTAAATGAAAATAAATACAGAAGAAGATGGCCGCTCACACTGAGCCTGGTTCTGCTGGAGGTAACTTCCTGTGAAAAGGGAGTTTTTCCTCTCCACTGTCACTACAAGCATGCTTAGTGTGAGTGATTTTATTTGAGTCAATGAGTCGATGCAATCAGCTGGTTTTCCTTAGAAAACTTTGAATACATTTGACTGTATGATCTGGTTGAACTGTAAAGTGCCTTGAGATGACGTGTTGTGAATTGGCGCTATATAAATAAACTGAATTGAAAATTTAATGGAAGGAATATCCTACAAATCCCAGACATTGCCCTCTATTATGACTACAGTTAATTAGGATACATTTTTCTTTTAAGAAAAATGAAATATCAGCTGTGCTGCTGCCATTAACATCTTTGTTTCTAGATGTTGGAGCTTGGCCTGTTTTCCAGTGTAGTCCTGTTTCTCTGACTGTGACTAACTGGATGTGCTCTCTTCATCCTCTGACATGGGAGCTGGCTCGGAGCTCGTCTGCCTGGCCATGAAACTTTCAGAAAGGGTTACTTTTAACTTGACAGCTTAATCACATCTTTACTTCATCACACTGTTTCAATTCTATTCAGTTTTTTTCTATAGCTCCAATTTACAACACATGTCATCTCAAGGCACTTTACAGTTCAACCAGATCATCCAGTCAGATTGATTTGAAGTTTTCTATCTAAGGAAAACCAGCCGATTGCATCGACTCATTGACTCTTCAGCAATCCCTCACACTAAGCATGCTTGTAGCGACAGCGGAGAGAAAAAACTCCCTTTGAACAGGAAGAAACCTCCAGCAGAACCAGGCTCAGTGTGAGCGGCCATCTGCTGAGGCCGACTGGGGGACTACTCATTTCAATTTCAAAGGAACTTAAATAGGGGAAAAAAACAAGAACAATAGCAAAACAAAATCATAATTATATTGTTAACTGTTGTTCTGCACTCCACCAGTAGGGGGTGACATGTTCACCTGAAACTTCATAAAATGTGTGGTTCATGAAATTTCTAATTACTACACGTAAAACTAAACGAAGGAATAAAAAATACTGAAAAGACATACCTGAAAGAAATAACCAGAGAGAGTAAATCTAAAAATTAAAAAATTATATAAATCTTGACAAACACAGAATAACAAAGAATAAAGCATAAGTGAGAAACCAAAAATAAAACAGAACCGAAAAGTCCAGAGAGGGCAGAATCATCATACTTAACAACTCAAATCAAGTGGAAATACACTTATTTAAAGGAAATGTTGCAGACTTTTATTTTATTTCATTTTTTTGCAAGTATTTTCATTGGCTTTTCTCTCCGGGTTTTATTTTTATTTTTTTATCGTAGCTGGTCCTAACCTGTGGTGCTGCTTGTCTGCCCAGATTTATGCATCTGTGTCTATAACCATTTTTTTTTTTTTATTAAATAGGAAAAAAAGGTACACTGAAAAAAATAAAGAAACGGTTTCTGGCATTTACTTAATCCTATTTAGGTTCTCTAACAATTTCTTTTCATGTTAACATGGTAGGACATAATACAATAGTGTTAAAGTAACTGAATAAGATTAAGTAGATACCAAAAACGGTTGCATTATTTTATTTAGTGTACCCTGTAAATCTATAACACGATGCACGGCGCCCTCTCTGCGCAGGTCTCGTGGCGTTGTGCGTATTGAAGCCAAAATGACCTTTGAACCGCAGAAGATTGACATCTTTAACAAGAACTGTCAGCGCGACGGGAAGCAGGTCGCCTGCATGTCAGTGGATGTCTGTCTGAAGCTGGACAGCAGGATAAAAACCAGGAGGGATAACAGAGAAGACATTGGTGAGTGGTTCCTGCACACGTTCCAAAATAAAACATGTTAAACATCACATATTGGCCATTATTACACTCGTTATGGTCAGAAGTTTACCTACATTCATTGGAGATTCGGGACAGATGTTGTGGGATGAGGTCTATGTTTGCTCCGTGAGGGTCTTTAAATCTGTTAAAGTTCTTCTTTTAAGCAGGAGTCTCTAAAGGTGGAATTAGGTGGACTTAAAGGAATAGTACACCCAAAACATGATTAGCCTTCATTTTCTACTCACCCCCATGCTGAACAACACTCTGGAGTACTTTTTTGATATCTCAAATGCATCTGGAGATCTGGGAGGCTTCTTGCTGTCTGCTGACATTCAAATAATGGAGGTCTATGGCACCCGAGGCAGAAAGGTCCATAAAAGTCCACAAAAAACGTGTCAATATTCCTCCATACTGCTCGTCCAATGTATTCCAAGTGTCCTGAGTGGGTAGCATCCAGAATTAACTCGAAACAAAGTCATTTAGAATGTTTTTAGAGCATAAACAGTAGTGTATAGGATTTCCTAAAAGCGCGTTCACGACGCTACGGAAACCGCGGCAGACCAAACCAGATGAAAGTGCGCATTCAGCTCGGCAAAGAACTCATGCTCTTCCTCAACACTGAAGTCCTCAGACATTTTTCTTTCATTGTTTCTTTCTTTGCACAGGTAAACAGCACATTTCTTCTTCTACGCTTGCATTATCGGCAGAGCAGACGCTGAATGCGCACTTTCATCTGGTTTGGTCTGCCGCGGTTTCCGTAGGCTTGTGAACTCGCAGGCGCGCGCTTTTAGGAAATCCTATATACCCCTGTTTATGCTTTAAAAACATTCTAAATGACTTCGTTTCGAGTAAATTCTGGATGCTACCCACTCAGGACACTTGGAATACATTGGACGACCAGTATGGAGGAATATTGACACGTTTTTTGTGGACTTTTATGGACCTTTCTGCCTCGGGCGCCATAGACCTCCATTATTTGAATGTCAGCAGACAGCAAGAAGCCTCCCAGATCTCCAGATGCATTTGAGATATCAAAAAAGTACTCCAGAGTGTTGTTCAGCATGGGGGTGAGTAGAAAATGAAGGCTAATCATGTTTTGGGTGTACTATTCCTTTAAAGCCCTTTATGGTCTCACTCAACTATATTTAACTGAGATGTTGACGGTGCATCGGCCCAGCAGAACTCCCCGGTCTGCCAACCAAATGGTTCTGGACGTCCCTTGGTTCCAGTATAACCAGTGGGGCCATCGTTCCTTTGTTACCGCACCTAAACTGTGGAACAAGCTGTCCCTCGGTCTGCGTGTTCTCACTGATCTGCACCTTTTAACACTCTGCACTCCAGATTAAAGACAAATTTTTTTAAACTGGCTTTTATAGGAGGACACATTGTTTTATACTTATGATTTTAGTATGATATTTTTTCTTTTTTGCAATGTTTTTATCATTCTGTGAAGCACTTTGGTCTTCCTGGTGTTGTTGTAAAGTAAATAAACTTTCATTTGATTTTGATTTTATGTCCCATGAAAGACATTTGAATCCAACAGAAATCATGCTGGTGAAAATCAATCCACTGGACTTTGTTTCCACGTTTGAAGACGTTTCTCTTCCATCCAGGAAGCTTTTTCAATTCAAAATGTCAGAAAAGGTGTTGAGTTCCAGGTTTTGTAGAGTAGACCAAAAACAAAGCCATTTTGGCTTAGAAACATGCAAATTGAACCTGGCAGGCGGGTCCATCCCTCTGGAATGGGGGTCGTTTTTTTTTTTTTTTTGTTAGCCTGCAATGCCCCATACCTGTCTATGTCTCTGAAAGGGGGGGTTGTTAGAGGGAATTGTTGGCCTGGCTGAACAGGAAAGGTCTTCAGGCCAAACGACCCCCATCCCAAAGGGATGGACCCTATTCGTCCGTTTCTATTTGCATGTTTTCTAAACAAAAACAAGGCTTTGTTGGGCTGCTGTATAAAACCTGGAACTAAATGCTATTTCTGACATTTTGAATTGAAAAAGCTTCCTGGATGGAAAAGAAACGTCTTAAAACTTGGAAACAGAGTCCAGTGGATTGTTTTTAACTTTTTAGGACTGGTTAAAAACAATGGAATGAATCATCTACTTCAGCATAATGGTCAATGAGTTTATAGCTGTAACTCTAGATCTAACTATAGATCCTGCATATGAAATGATTGATGATAATTAGTAACTCCTAACCTCTCCTTGTCTTCTTTTTCCTAAGCTGTTTGGTACAGCCTGGTGTTTGATGACCGACGGTTCCCCCCCTGGGCAGTCCTGGATGAATCCCACCGACTGCAGCCCAGAACCCTTTCTTTACGGACTGGGAGTCAGAAATGCGAACGACTCGGCTTTTCTGTGCAGGTCCAGAAAAATCTCTCCAGACACGATAGTTATTTCTTTTCTTCAGTTTGATTCTTAAAAGTAAATCTCATATAAACAGGACAGAGCGGATTACAGGCGGCCCATTGTGGTTGTTATGGAAGCAGGACTTCAGAACCAGGACAAGGGGCCGGTGTTGGACCCAGAATGGCCGACCACCTTTAGAACGGAGGTAAATGTCCCAGAAACATGTCTCTGTTTGCTTCATGAAACAGCATCTCAGACGCTCTGTTATTTTCTTTTTTTTTTTCAAACATTGTTTTTTGCATACAGATTGTAAAATATCACATTTTCCAAAAGAAAAACTCAAAGCAAAAATTCAGCCTAAAAGTTTGAGATAAAAAATATTCTCTTTAAATATTATCTGTCCAGAACTCACTAAGTCAAGCAGTTTTACTTTTATCCGATTCAAGTTCAGTAATCGAATAGCAAAACTATAGTTCGTTCCCACATTTCATCCATGTTTTATGGAGCCTAGTAAATAGTTCAACTGAATAATCTGATTACCGTACTCACCTTCATCCACTTGCGACACAGCCAATCAGCTTTGAACCACACCTCCACGAAAGCCAATCAGCATCCAAAGCTCATCTTAAAAGGCCTCCGATATCCACCTTTCTGCTCCTGTGCGCAGGCGGCGGATGCGCTGTGACTTCATTCAGATGACACCGTTTTAACCCCCCTCCAGCCCCTCCTCCACCATCGTAGCTAAAGCTTCATCAGAGCGTCATTCCTCCTGGACTCTTACTGCGTTCCCTGTCTCATCTAAAGCGTTCCAGCAGAAGACCGCGATGTTGATCCTGGTTCTGCCAGAGGTTTCTTCACAATGGGGAGTTTTTCCTCTCCACTGTCGCTTCATGCTTGCTCATCATGGAGAGGTTCTCTCAACCTGTGTTATCCAACTGGACTTCCATCTTCCAGGTTCCTGAGTGAAGCTCTAGTATCAGCTCACTCATCCACTGGATCTCCCCATAAAGCTCAGCAGACCGTCTCTCCAACCAGCAGTCTACAGACTGACCAATTTCATCTATCTCCACTCCACCACCAGTTTCACCACCAACAGCCCTATTCTTTACTCCTGTTCATGCATATCATAGAAGCCTCTTACTGAAGACACTCTGTTGTTGTATCACAGTCTGATGAAGAGGATGCTCACAGTTGTCCCTTATTTTCTTCACTTTATGAAAAATTCTTCCTTGTCAAATCATCTCGAGAGGTTCTAGAGGAGTATGGTGATTTATCAGCTGTTACCCCAGCATCAGACCTGATGTTTTGAATTGAAAAGCTTCTGAGATGGGAAGCAAAACGTCTTCAAACTTGGCAACAAAGTCCAGTTTTTGAACTTTTTTGAAGCACATTTAATTCATCATCTGATTTGTTCATCCAGTTGTTTTTTGTTATTTTTAGTCCTTTAGCCTTGTTACTCAGATGTTTTCATGCGTTTTGGTGTTTTTTCTGATTTAATACGGTTATTGTCTTGGCAGCTTCCATTCTGGAATGGATGTGAGGAGGAGGACTGCACCCCCGACCTCATCCTCCACAGCCAAACGGACCTTTTGACTCTTCTGTGAGAAGCTGAGCCTGTTTTCCAAATTCAAACGCACTCTTGGATCTGTTAAATAATAAAATGTTTTTGTTTCACTTGAAGACAGTTCTGCAGCAGCAGGAAACATGCGGCCTACTCCCTCTGCAGCCCTACGAGGGGACATGAAGAGAAAGTGTCTGTGGTGGAGAGTGGACGCAGGAAAATGACTGTAATTGGTCAGTTAGAGAACTCGGGAGAGAACGCATACAGAACTACACTCAACATCTCCACCACACCAAACCTGCTCTTCTCCAACATCTTGATCAAGGTAAAACAATAAATAACCGTGAGCCGTCATTTCTGTTGATTTTCCTCGTCTCTGAATAATGCTGACCCTGTCCCACCGGCAGGGACGGATTGAGGATATTTGGGGCCCTAGGCAAAGACAGGCAGGGGCCCCTCTGAACTGAGAAGACAACACATAAAACAGACCCATTCTACAGATAGAGAAATAGTTTGTTTTCAAATGGTTTGCTGCTGTCTGTTTGGACCTTTCTGAACATGTGCAGCAAATGGACTGATCCAATATGGTGGACGCTGAAGGGGGGAGCTGAGACACACTTAATATTATCAGCGCTCTGATTGCATTTTAGCCAAAGGATTTTTATCAAAAACATCATTAATGTTATTAATAACCCTTTCAAAGACTTTTATAAATCCCTTTACACGGCTGGTAAAATAGAATCAGACATTGGTTCCTATTTAGATGGTATACCCCTACCCTCAATTTCAGAGGAGGATCGCTCTGCCCTTGATGCTGCTTTTACACCTGAGGAGGTTTGGCCTGCAATCCATTCGATGCCAAATGGAAAATGGCCTGGTCCGGATGGATTTCCTCTGGAATCTTTTAAAGAAATTCTGAACTGGGATCCATCCCATCCTTTTACCTGCTATAAATAATATCTTAACTGGAGGTCTACCCCCGTCTTGGAATTTTGCTTCTATCAGCTTATTGTTGCAGAAAGATAAAAACTCCCTAGATTGCTCATAGGCCTATCAGTCTCCTTAATGTTGATTACAAAATTGTTGCCAAGGTGTTGGCGCGGAGACTAGAAAAGATTCTTCCGAAAATAATAAACCCCGACCAGACGGGTTTTGTGAAATCTAGAAATGGAACAGACAATGTGTGTCGTGCTCTGAACGTCATTCAATATCTTTATCAACATAAAGACCCAGCTTTGCTTATCACTTTCGATGCAGAAAAAGCCTTTGACCGGCTAGAAAGGCCTTTTTTATTCCCAGTTTTACAGAATATTTGGCATGGGCCCTAATTTTATTAACATCATTAAAGCCTTCTATTCCAATCCAGTAGCCATGGTAAATACTAACGGTTCGCTGTCAGATGTTTTTTCTGTTCAGAGGGGTTGTAGACAGGGGTGCCCCAGGTCACCTTTGTTGTTTACGTTGTTCATTGAACCTTTTGGCTGCAGCTATTAGATCTAATCCAGACATCTTTGGAATTAGGATAGGTGAAGATCACCATGTGATCTCTCTATTTGCAGATGATGTTCTTTTATACCTGAAACACCCAAATAAATTGGTCCCGGCTGTTCTTAGTTCCATAGATAAATTCAGTGCTCTTTCGGGTTATAAGATTAATTTAGGCAAGTCAGTCGCTTCTCCTTTTAATATCCATCAAGATATGTTGCTACAACCTATTTTTCAAATATGTAAAAGAGGTTTCACGTATCGTCTTCACGTTTCATTACCCCTGATCTGAAAGATTTATTCTCATCAAACTACTCCGCCCTAGTTCAAAACATTAAGAATGATCTGTTGAAATGGTGTACTTTACCTATATCACTTCTTGGTAGGTTTAATACAGTAAAAATGAATATTGTCCCTCGCTTAAACTACCTGTTCCAAAACCTCCCTTGCTACTTGTCCCTTAAATTCTTTAAATCCCTTAATTCTTATATTTCTCGCTTTTTTTGGAACAATAAGCATCAACGAATTAGGTTCTCCACTCTTACTAAACCAAAGCAGTTGGGAGGTTTATCTTTACCCAATTTGCAGCTCTACTACTGGTCCGCCCAGCTTAAAATGATGTCTGACTGGTTTTCTAGTAGAGACACTTGCTTATGGCGGGGCCTCGGATCTTTATCATGTTGTCCTAGAAGGTTAAGTTCTCTCCCTTTATTTCAATAACATAGATCAATTGGATTCATTGAAGGAAAACATGGTAGTTTATAGAACTTTGTTAGCTTGGCAAGACATAAAGAAATACTTGAATATTCCCCCCTCTATCTCAATTAGATCCACCCTGACCTTAAATCCGGACCTACAGTTCCAACTTCTATTAGAAGAACTGGTCTACTGAAATGGTCTCATTCTGGTCTGAACGATTTCTCTGATCTGTTGGTTTCCGATGCTATTAAATCATTTAATCAAATTAGGGACAAGAGCAACATTCCCAGTGTATTCTCATTATGAGTTCGTATGAAATCGTACGAAAAGCTATGCACCGTAATTTCGTACGTTTTGGACGTTTTTTTTGTCGTATGCGCATGCGCATCTTATGCACCATTCAAGAACATAGAATATAAATTACAATTAGCCCTAACCCTGACCCTAACCCTAAGATATAAAACAGCAAGCAACTTAGTTACAGACATGAATAAGTGATGATTGCACTGTTTTTCCCAGTTTTACGTCCGTCCGCGGATCTGCTTTTTTTTTTCTGTCTGCCAGCGCATGCGCACTGATGTGGTTTTTTGAGGAAAAACGTCGAAAACGTACGAAATAGTGTGCATAACTTTTCGTACGATTTCATACGAACTGATAATGAGAATATGTTGACATTCCTCAGAAAGCTTTTATAAATATCTTCAAATTCTGCAATTTATGGATTCAGTATTTCGGTCTAATCCATTCCGTAGGGAACTGACGGACTTAGAAAATGTTCTGGTTTGAACCAACTCTCCAAAGGGTCTGATTTCTAAATTCTATGCACTCTTACTCAGCCCTGTACCATCAAGCTTTGACTCTGTCAAGCGGCTCTGGGAGCGTGATCTAGAGATGCAATTCAGTCCTTCTGATTGGCTTAAGATCTGCAATGTAACCTTCCCTCGATGCACTTCTATATCTATACAAGAACTGAATTTCAAACTTTTCTATAGGTCCTACTATACCCCTGTTCGTCTTCAGAGAATGTTCCTAGACCGTTCAACTCTATGTTGCAAATGTTTCAGGCATAGAGGTACTTTTTTTCCATCTATTCTGGTCATGTGATTTATTAAGATCCTTTTGGAGGGACGTTCATTTGGTGATTGAAAACGTTTTGGGGGCACGCTTCTTTTTGTCTCCTGTGTTTTATCTTTGAAATGTTTCCCCTAATCATCTGGGTGCACATTCTAAATCCTTGTTTACAATTCTTCAACTTTTTGCATAGAAATGTATTTTGTTCCAATGAACGTCTCCTTCTGCTCCCGAGGTAAATATGTGGCTCACACAGATATCTGTTATCCTTCCTTTGTAAAAGCTGACCCACGATCTCAATCACAGATCAGACACATTTTCGGCACTTTGGGGTCCCCTCGAGTCGTTTCTGCTTGGTCAATACGATTTTATGTATTTATTTATTTTTTTTTCCTTTAATAGCACTATTTATGTTTGCTTGCTTCTGTTCCCCTCCTCTGATGGCTAAGGGTTGAAGTGGACGTGAAAGGATTGACTCCTTGTTCCTTGTTCATGTGGAGAATATATATATATATATTTTTTTTTTTTTATATTTCTTTTTTTATTATTTATTTACATATTTATTTTTCTTCTTTTAATGTATGTGTGTGTAAAGTGGCACAGGTTTGTTCTTTGTATTGTAACTAATCTAAAATGAATAATAAAAAAAACATAATTAATGTACACAAATAAGGAATAGTTGTATTAACCATACATGTAAACAGAGTTTTAAGGGGCCCCCAGGAACTTGGGGCCCTAGGCAACTGCCTAGTATTGCCCAATGGTAAATCCCTCCCCTGCCCACAGGACCAATCGGATATCCAGATCGAGTGTCCTACCGAGTACAGAACGACCTCCCAGAGGAGCTGCAGCATCAGTGCACCGTTCATGAAGTCACTGTCCCAGGTGAGGGAAATGTAGCAGTTCTATGCAGTTCTACTCTGTTTTATATTCAGTTAGCCTCTATATTACAAACCACTTCTCATCCTGTCGCTTTGATTCTAGGTGCCAAATATTATGTTTATCTTTTTATCAAAGCTTTTTAAGGTGTTCCGTTTTCCACCTTTAAGTGTTCAAGATGAAGTGAAATCAGAAGATCAGCAGAAATGTAATCAGTTTTTGAAAGGATCAGATGGCAAACTTATACCATCTCTCTGCCACCATTTAATGCAGTTAATGAATCAACCAAAGCCCCTAATCCCATCGACCGCCTCTCTTCTGTGATGGAGACGATGGGACGATGGGGGAGGGCGTGCTGGGAACAGCTCTAAACCACTAGCTCTGCTCCACTTTAGGTTACTTTTCATCTGGAGTTGGAGTTCAGCCGGTCAATCTTTCTGGATTATGTTCAAGTCAACATGGCCGCCACTAGGTAAGAGAAGTGCTACTGGTCACATGCTGATGGTGTATTGTTGTTAAAAGATGTTTGAATTTAAATTAGATAACTGGATCCATTCCAAAAAAGTTAAAAAACAATCCACTGGACTTTGAAGTTTGAAGACATTTCTCTTCCCATCCAGAAAGCTTCTTCAATTCAAAATGTCAGAAATAGTGTTGGGTTCCAGGTTTTATACAGCAGCCCAACAAAGCCTTGTTTTAGTTTAGAAATCATGCAAACAGAAACGGACAAAAAGCCTCAATTCCCACCAAAGGAATCCCTATCATTTGTTATAGCTGTTTTTGACTCTCGTTATTGAAAATGAACAGCTCCAGTCTGATAGAGATAGACGGAACTAGAGTTTAGTGTAGGTAGTTAGAGGGTGGTCGGGGCTTTATCGTGGTTTGTTTCCGTAATCTGGAGACCATGTTGGAGCCCTGTATGTATTCCTCATTCATCCTCAGACAGACAGTAACTACATTCACCTTTGTAACTAAATGGAGGGAGGGAGTGAGAGAGAGAGAGACTAAATTTGCAGCCCTGACCAACGGGACTATATGAAAAGACTGCAGGAACTATGGAAACTTTGATACCCACAGTCTGGGCTAAAAGCGGAGTAGGTCAAAGTTTGAACATTGCTTCCACAGTTTACGTGCCAGAGCTTCCAACAAACGCAAACTATGTCAATGGAGAACCAATCCACAACGCCATATGGGGGCGCCACCATCAACCTCCCTGATATTGGGCACCAAGCCGAAATGATGCAAGACAAACTGAATGAGAACCACTGACCTAAGAAATAAGATCATGGCTCAGATGAGATCCTGTCAACCCAGATACAGGCTAGTAAAGTTAAATAAAGTGAAGCCGATGATCTCCTGGGTAATATGAACAGAGCGCTAAATATGATTGCAAGCCATTTGAACACCTCCTGTACATGGATGACATTCAGCTGTATGCTAAGAGTGAACCAGACATTGGCTCGCTGATCTACACCACCAGGACCTACAGCAGAGACATTAGCATGTCATTCGGGCTGGATAAATGTGGCCGGATGGTGACAAGGAGAGGGAAGGTAATCCACACAGAGAGGATCTCACCACCAAAAAGGACAATAGAGAGTCACAAATACCTTGGAATATCATGGGCAAATGGCATCCACAAAGAGGCCACAAGAAAAGCAGCAACAGCCAAATACATGAGAAGAGCTCAATGGTGAGGTCAAGGTCCAGGCAATCAACAGCTGTGCCTTGCTAGTAATTAGATACCGTGCTGAGATACGAAGTAGGATTGAGGATGAAAATTCAAGCTACTGATGTTGAATCATGAAAGCTACTCATCATTCATGTTGGATTCCATCCCAAAACCAGTTCCCACAGACTATACACTAAGCAGAGAAGGAAGCAGAGGCCTAGTGAGCATCAGAGACACCACTAAAGATAAAACACAACAGATAAAATAGCTCCAAGAATACATCAGTAAGATCGCCCCAATGGAATGTCAGTGAATGTCTCAGACAGTGGAAGCTGGAAATAAAAACACTGGAGAAAGCATCATGGGAGGAAAAACTCCTAAATGGGAAGGACCACTGACAGAACGCTGAAATGGCCGATATGACCAAATCCTACCAACGGCTACAGAAAGACGGGCTGAAACTAGAGAAACACCAGGGGCTCAGGGAAGAACTAGAGAGAGCCTGGAAGGTGAAGTCCACTGCAGTCCAACTGTGGTCATTGGAGCACTGGGGGCAGTAACGCTCACAGTGGAAAAGTGGCTTCAGCAGATACCTGGAGAAACATCAGACATTTAAGTCCAGAAGAGCGCAGTTCTAGGGACGGTTAAGATACTGAAAAAAACCTGGAACTCCAAGGCCTCCGGTAGAGGACCTGGGGTGGAGATGAAGAAGCCACCCACCCCATCAGTATGAGGGTTGGTAGGAGAGGTGTTTATATATATATATATATATATATATATATATATATATATATATATATATATATATATATACATATACACTCACCGGCCACTTTATTAGGTACCCCATGCTAGTAACGGGTTGGACCCCCCTTTGCCTTCAGAACTGCCTCAATTCTTCGTGGCATAGATTCAACAAGGTGCTGGAAGCATTCCTCAGGGAGTTTGGTCCATATTGACATGATGGCATCACACAGTTGCCGCAGATTTGTCGGCTGCACATCCATGATGAGAATCTCCCGTTCCACCACATCCCAAAGATGCTCTATTGGATTGAGATCTGGTGACTGTGGAGGCCATTTGAGTACAGTGAACTCATTGTCATGTTCAAGAAACCAGTCTGAGATGATTCCAGCTTTATGACATGGCGCATTATCCTGCTGAAAGTAGCCATCAGAAGTTAGGTACATTGTGGTCATAAAGGGATGGACATGGTCAGCAACAATACTCAGGTAGGCTGTGGCGTTGCAACGATGCTCAATTGGTACCAAGGGGCCCAAAGAGTGCCAATAAAATATTCCCCACACCAAGACACCACCACCACCAGCCTGAACCGTTGATACAAGGCAGGATGGATCCATGCTTTCATGTTGTAGACGCCAAATTCTGACCCTACCATCCGAATGTCGCAGCAGAAATCGAGACTCATCTGACCAGGCAACATTTTTACAATCTTCTATTGTCCAATTTCAATGAGCTTGTGCAAATTGTAGTTTCAGTTTCCTGTTCTTAGCTGAAAGGAGTGGCACCCGGTGTGGTCTTCTGCTGCTGTAGCCCATCTGCCTCAAAGTTCGACGTACTGTGCGTTCAGAGATGCTTTTCTGTCCACCTTGGTTGTAACGGGTGGTTATTTGAGTCACTGTTGCCCTTCTATCAGCTCGAACCAGTCTGGCCATTCTCCTCTGACCTCTGGCATCAACAAGGCATTTCCGCCCACAGAACTGCCTCTCACTGGATGTTTTTTTCTTTTTCGGACCATTCTCTGTAAACCCTAGAGATGGTTGTGCGTGAAAATCCCAGTAGATCAGCTGTTTCTGAAATACTCAGACCAGCCCTTCTGGCACCAACAATCATGCCACGTTCAAAGTCACTCAAATCACCTTTCTTCCCCATACTGATGCTCAGTTTGAACTGCAGGAGATTGTCTTGACCATGTCTACATGCCTAAATGCACTGAGTTGCCGCCATGTGATTGGCTGCTTAGAAATTAAGTGTTAACGAGCAGTTGGACAGGTGTACCTAATAAAGTGGCCGGTGAGTGTATATATATATATATATATATATATATATATATATATACAAATATATATATATCTTTTTCAAGGATGTTCTTAGTTTGAAAAAGAACTAACTCATCTTAGGTGTTTATTAAATGTGTTCTTCTGTGTGTTAGTGAGGGGGAGGATGGAAACCCAGGTGACAACACCAACAACATCTTCCTCCCTTTGAAATACCAAGCCGACCTTCTGTTCACCAGGTGGGTGAGACTAATAGATCTTTGTCATTTAGGGGCGACCCTGAACTAAAGGTTCGCCCGCGTCTTAACTGAGTTAAATTGAAATGCTAAACGAGAAATTAATTCAAACTGTATTTTTATGAGAAGGGACATTTTTGAAAAGTTAATTTAAAAGCTCTCAGAAAAGGTTCTGGAGCTTTAGATCTCAGTGATGCTGGACTCTTCTGGACTCCAGTCTGTGCTTCTGTCCTTGTTATTATGATCTTTAACCAACGGTTGTTTTTCTTTTAACCTGACAGAGACCCCAATCCTCATCGTTTTGAGATCAGAGATGGCTTCTCCTCATACGATGAAGAACCAGATACAGCCTTTCCTTCCTTTAACCTCACCTTCAATGCAAGTTAAAGTAACACACTGTTAAAAAAACAAAGAAATGAGAGCAGGCCAGATCATCATTTTTAAGGCTCTCGTACTTACTGCCGTATCATGTGAGGGTTTCGATTGCTTTCATTGATCAGAGCAGGATGTTTAGTGTTTCAAACACAAATCACTGGGAATATTAAAACCAAATTAAGATGAAAGCAACAAAGCATGGAATGTTCTGAAAACTCCCATCGTTCAAGCTATCGTCTTTTGCTGTTGCCAAGGACCGAGTTCGCTTCTTTCCACTAACCAACCGTCTTTCATCATAAGACTTAGACAGATTTATTTGTCATTTTATTTACACAAGTGTAAAACAAAAAGAAATTTAGTTTAGAACAGCTCTCTGGCCAATTTCATCTTTTTTAAAAGTGCTGCCTTAAAAAATAGTAAAAAAAAATCTATATAAAAACAGTAATATAACCATTTGACTGTAAATTTACAGTTCTAACATTTTCAGTTTTTTATATATATGATGATAAAATATAATAAAATACAATACAATAACCCATTTTACAAAACATTCATCAGTCTGATGGCGGTGAGGAAGAAGCTGCTGCAGAACCTGCTGGTCCTGCATTGAATGCTGTGAAGCCTCTTCCCAGAGGGCAGCAGGGAGTACAGTCCATGGTGGGGGGGTGAGGGTCATGGATGATGTTACGGGCTCGGGACACACAGCGCTGGGATGAAATGTCTTTAATGGAGGGAAGAGGAGCCCCCATGATCTTCTCTGCTGTTCTCACCTTCTTCCAGTCTGAGAAGCTTCAGCCTCCACACCACACAGTGACACAGCTGGTCAGAACGCTCTCTTTGGTGCATCTGTAGAAGGTGGGGAGGATGGGTGGGGGCAGGTGGGCTCTCCTCATCCTCTGCAGGATGTCCAAGCGCTTTTGTGACCTGTTGACCAGTGAGGTGGTGTTTCCAGTCCAGGTGAGGGTGTCTGTGATGTTCACCCCCAGGAATTTGGTGCTGCTGACCACCTCTACAGCTGAGCTGTTGATGAGCAGTGGAGCATGGTTAGGACGGTTCTTCCTGAAGTCAACCATGATCTCCTTGGTCTTCTCCACATTCAGGATCAGGCTGTTATCTCTGCACCACCAGCTGCTCCACCTCCTCTCTGTAGTCCAGGTCGTTGTCGTCTCTGATGAGGCCCACCACCGTGGTGTCGTCTGCAAACTTCACCATATTATGGGTGGTGAACCTGGGGACGCAGTCGTGTGTCATCAGGGTGAACAGCAGGGGGCTCAGGACGCAGCCCTGAGGGGAGCCTGTGCTTAGACTAATGACATCAGAGGTGTTCTGTCCGACCCGGACTGACTGAGGTCTGTTGGTGAGGAAGTCTAGCAGCCAATAGCAGAGGGGCTTATTGAAGCCCAGCTGTTCCAGTTTGCCCATCAGATGCTGTGGGATGATGGTGTTGAAAGCTGAACTGAAGTCCAGGAAAAGCATCCGCATGTGGGTGTTCTTCTCCTCCAGGTGCGCCAGGCTCAGGTGGAGAGCAGCAGAGATGGCGTCTTCAGTGGAGCGGTTCCGTTGGTAGATGAACTGGAACGGGTCGAATGTTGGCGGCAGACTGGAGACGATGTGTTCTTTAACCAGCCTTTGGAAGCACTTCATCATGATGGGAGTCAGTGCTACAGGCCGTTGACCTGAGGCTTTTTTTGGACTGGAATAATGGAGGCAGACTTGAAGCATGCTGGCACTATGGATCGGTCCACCAAGGTCTAAAAAAGGTTTAGTGCTTCCTCCCCCTGGTGTGGAACAGCTTTCAGCGCTGGAGGCTGTTTAGTGCCTCAAACCTTCCAAAGAAGTTGTTCAGTTCATTTAGGAAGTCAGTGTTTGCTGCATCTACCGGGGGGGAGGGTGTGTTGTAGTCTGTGATCATCCGAATGCCTTTCCACATCCTCCTGGTGTTGCTGGCGTCGTAGAAAAGATCCTGGATCTTCTGGCTGTGGTTCTGCTTCTCTAATCTGATGGCACGGTTTAAGTTGACACACGCTGTTCTCAGTGCCTCTTTATCACCAGTCTTGAAAGCTGAGTTCGGTGCTTTTAGCGATTTCCGAACCTCTCCATTTATCCAGGGTGGTTGGTTGGCCTGGGTGGTGATGTTCTTTTTGATGCTGATGTCCTCAATGCATTTGTTGATGTAGGCTGACACAGTCATAGAATACTCATCAATATTTAACAAGTTATCATATGTTGCTGCAGCCTTGAAGATGCTCCAGTCAGAGCATTCAAAACAGTCTTGGAGTGTTTCCATGGCGCCCTCAGACCACACTCTGACCTCTTTAACTGTCGGTTTAGCCCTGACCAGCTTGGGCTTATGTGCAGGGATAAGCATGACAGAGAGGTGATCTGATGACCCCAGGTGGGGGCACGGGGCTGCCCTGAATGCATCTTCTATGTCAGAGTAAAACTAGGTCTAAAGTGTTTTCACCCCGAGTTGCAAAGTCCACATGTTGGTAAAAATGAGGGAGAACAGTCTTCAAGTTAGTCTGGTTAAAATCCCCAGTAATGATGAAAACCCCCTTTGTGTGCAGATAAGAGTCTTCATTGCCTCTTTAGTGTTAGCACTGGGGGGCACGTAAACAGCAGTGATGCTAACCACATTGAACTCTCTGGACAGATAGAACGGTCTGCAGTTAACAGTCAGAAACTCGATGTCTGGAGAGCAGAAGCTGGTGACTGATATAGCATTTTTACACCAGCTGTTGTTGATGTAAACACGGAGCCCGGCACCCCGAGTCTTACCGCTTAGTTCTTTGTTCCTATCGGCGTGGTATAGCGTTAGCCCCTCCAGGCTAATAGCATTGTCCGGTATTGCTAGATGCAGCCATGACTCTGTCAGAATGATGGTGCAGCAGTTACTAATCTCCTTCCTTGATGAGAGTTCCAGTCGGAGATTATCCATTTTGTTTTCCAATGAGCGGACGTTGGAGAGCAGGATTGATGGAAATGGAGGTCTGTGGGGATTCCTCCTTAGCATCGCAGTTAGACCCCCTCTGCAGCCTCGCTTTCTCCGTCTTGCACATCTCTTCCTCCTACCGTTACGTTCCACTGTTGTGTTGTTGACATCCGTCCGTAGAACTCCGAAGCTTTTTAAGCGGTGAAAAATGTCTGGATTTAAAACATTTTGTGACCGTAGCTCCAGCAGGCGTTGGCGAAATGTGAAATTATCGAAATTGTTGAGAGGAGCCATTCTTGGCCGCTGCTTTGGAGTGCCGTCTTAGCAACAAGAACAAAGACTCCAAGATGGATGGTTATGATGAAAGACGGTTGGTGGTTACCAACCGTCTTTCATCATAACCATCCATCTTTCATCATAACCAGCCATCTTTAACCATTTAAACCCTAACCTCTGATCTCTCATCAGAGAAACCAGACCCAAAAATGCAGACGATTGGAGGCCCCCCAGGCTTCTAGAACACCTCAGCACAACCACAGACGCTACGCTGCTTTGATGCAGTCATTCACTGAAAGGGCCAAGAGATGAATGAGTGAATCTCTAAAACATCTTTTTCTACAATTTTATGTAGTAGTCTTTGCTTTTATACTTTGAGTTTGAGGTTATAGGAGTCTACAACCTGTATTGGTTTATGCCTCTGGAGGGGTACTGGCAGTAAAAAAATATTGTCAAGTTTAAAAGCTTGACAAACAGGCCTGTTAGCTTTGGTTGGGAGAGCCAGGGGAAAATGTATCTTCACTCATCTGCACACGACCTCCGGGTTTTATATCCCATCTGGCAGAGCAGCCTGTCTGTAGGCTTCAAGGTCGTCTTCCAGTAAACCTTCACAGTGCAGGCGTTGGAGGTTTTGCCCTCAAACTTCTTCTAGATCTAGATAGAGTTTTCATCCAGAGCTAAGGTCATCATATTTATTCTGGTTTACAGGATTTAATTAGGAGCTGCAATCCTGGTCATCCATTCAGGGAACACCCGGTGGCTTTTAGGATGGAAATGTTCTTGTGCTGCGTTCAGCCCTAAAGCAGCAGGAGCAGGAGAAACGTGCGTGCTGCTTCATTTTTGATGCTTTTACCAATTTAGTTTTGACGCGCAGCTGAAGCATCTTTGCTGCTCTAGCTGGGCGGTGGAAAAGTGGGTCTGATGCGCGTTGGGCAGAGCTACCCTATCCTTTCTTAGCCTGGAACAATGGCAGCTATATTTGCTGTGATCAGTGGGTAAAAAGTAGTTTGAATCTATTTTTAAGTGAGAAAGTCCTCCTGACAACATTTTCAGTGCAGTCGGTTCATCCACATTACCATCCTGCCTTCAAAGATTATTTCTCTGTGGGAGCCGCTCAGACCCCCAGATACCGGCGGTGCGCTGTCACTGGGAATCCCCAGCAGCAGCTGCCTCAGGCCCGGTTCATGTACGTAATCCAAACTGCAGCGAACATATTCTGCCGGCAGGTTTCTACATTTTAAGTTAATTTAGGCGTTATTAAACTGTTTCAGAGGAGTGATCATTGCACTCTGCATCAGCAGTGCTGTGTCTGTCTCCCTGCCAGCTCCCATATCAGCTTCTCTGATTGGTTGATGTGGCGCCTCGTCCAGCAGCTAATGTTACATTTTTTCAATTCCAGCAGCTGGTGCTTGTGAAGCGCATTGCGTGCGTCAGATGCTCAGAAGCTCATGAGGCGCTGCTTTGGCTGCTCAAAACGCGCTGCAGGACCTTTAGCGCATGATGCGCATCAGCCATTGACTGCATGTAAACCAACTGTTTCTGCGGCTTCTGCTGCCTTCGCTGCTTGCGGTCTGAATGTAGCATTGGGACCAATGCAGATGTAGGAGGGAACAGTTGCTGTGTATTCTTCCAGCTCTGCACATAAAGCCGGTTTTTAGTTTAAGGAGAGCATGTGTTGATAGAGTAATGTGTTTGGTGACCAAAAAATGTCTAATTTCTTACCAAATCTTTAGTCTAAGCTGTTCAAACGTATAGCTTCTATTTCAGGCTGAATTACTTCGTTGGAGGCAAAATAAGCATTTCTAAGCATCATTAGCATGAAAACCATGTTGAACACGTAATAAACACACGAAATATTTATAAATTGTTTATAGATAAAAAAAAATAAACTAATATTTGAACATCTAAATGGAGAATCTTATTGTAAAGTTTCCTGTGTTTAATTTACTCTGTGCTTAGGTGCAGAATCTGGGCATCTTCTCAGTGAAGGAGATCCTGCTGACAGCAGATATCTGGGCTGTGACCAAGGAGGGCAACCAGCTGGTGGACATCACAGACTACAGCATCAAGGAGGAGGTGAAATGAGCATCAATAAACCTTCAGATGCAAAGTTTCAATTTGAACCTTTAAACTAGAGAAATATCAGCTGTGCTGCTGCCATCAACACCTTTGTTTCTAGATGTTGGAGCTTGGCCTGTTTTTCAGTGTAGTCCTGTTTCTCTGACTGTGACTAACTGGATGTGTTCTCTTCATCCTCTGACGTGGGAGCTGGCTCGGAGCTCGTCTGCCTGGCTGTGTGTTTCCTGGACGGGGCCGCCTGTGGAGCTGGTTGACAGTTGCCTTTTGTATCTATGCTTCTTTTTCTATGTCTGCTTCTGTCTCCTTGAACCACAGTCAGCCTCAGCAGGTGGCCGCTCACACTGAGCCTGGTTCTGCTGGAGGTTTCTTCCTGTTCAAAGGGAGTTTTTCCTCTCCACTGTCACTACAAGCATGCTTAGTGTGAGGGATTGCTGAAGAGTCAATGAGTCGATGCAATCAGCTGGTTTTCCTTAGATAGAAAACTTGAATCAATCTGACTGGATGATCTGGTGAACTGGAAAGTGACCTGAGATGACATGATGTGAATTGGAGCTACAGAAATATACTGAATAGAATTTAAGTTAAACATGTCAGCTAATATTCAGGATAGTTTTCACTCAGCTCAGTTCTGTTTAAATTCAGACTTGAGGGATTGATTTTCTTTATTGGAACCCTAAATTTTATTATTTCTCAACAAGAAAATTAACACAACAAAATGACTAAAATATGTTTTTTGAAGTCTTTACGTATAGCATGTAACAGTTTTAGTGCATTGGTGTTCAGACACTTTTTGTTGGCAACAGTGAAATAAAGATAGACTTAATGACATAGATAGTTTATAGGTTAAAATCTACTGATAATGTTTTTATTTCTGTTCCTAGCATGTGTTTGAATTTGCAGCCCAATGTGTCGCTGTTCAAACCAATGTTTGCTCAGAGATCCTTTCGGTCATCTCCACCTCCATCTTTGTTTATTTCATATTCATTGACAGAAACACCTGATTTATTTAACTTTTGTTAGTTTCATAACCCTTCACAGTGGTGTGCGCTCAGGGCTTCACTGCAGGCCTAAAATCAATCAGAAACACTAACATACATTCATAGGTAACTTTTTCTTCTTTCTAACTGTATTAATTTATTCCAAACAATCCGTTCTCTTAATTTTGAAGTGTTTTTCTTGGCTGCGCTGCTTCATTACATTGATCTGGTTGCTATATTTTCTGTCCAATCAGATTTCAGCCTCAGTGTGTTGCTATGGCAATCTAATCAGCCCAGGGCCTTCAGAGTCAGCAGTGCTGCTGATGTAAACTTAACAACATTAGCGAGAAACATTTTCTCCAACCAATCAGATTTCAGGTTTGCCTCACAGGGCCAGCTAGAGGCCCCGCCCCTACATCAGAATTTTCTGTCCTCTGATTGGTTGGTTAGAGTGAAATGTTTACAATATTTTCCTTTTTTTAAAGTTTTTCTGGCCTTAACGGCTGATACTAAATGGAGATACAAGACTTCCTGGACAAAGACAGAAGGATGAATTTAGTTGATAAATAATCAGCATTTTTGGTGATTATTTTTGCAAATCCTACTATCTGTTATATCTGAGCTTGTTAGATTTCATATTTGATTACAATTATTAGTTTTTTTTATTAAAATAGGAAAGTGGTGATATCAACCCTTTGACACCCATCATTGCAAATATGGAACCAATCCTACACATTCAGTGAACAGGAACCTTTGGCAAGCTCTTGTTTCCATTTCAACTTGTCCCTAACGGTATATGTTATTATTATACACCACCACACACAAATAGGGGCAACAGTGTCGTTGGATGTAGGAGTTTGCCCTGAAATCGAAGGATTGACGGGTCAAGCCTCGACTCCGACTTTCAGTGTCGTTGTGTCCTTGGGCAAGACACTTCACCTGCATTGTCTACTGATGGTGGTCAGAGGCGCCCAGTGGCGCGGCTGGCGCCTGTGTTAGGCAGCCCCGCTTCTGTCAGTGAGCCCTAGGGCAGCTGTAGCTACAATGTAGTTTGCCACCATCAGTGTGTGAGTGAATGGGTGAATTAATGTAGTGTAAAGCGCTTTGGTCAAGTCTCCTGACTTGAACAAAGGTGCTATATAAGTACGTGCCATTTACCATTTACCATATATATTGGGGTCATTGTGGGTCACTGCCCCGAGGGCCCCAATGACCACGGGTTCCACTGATGCCTTGACCTTCCAGGTTTTCTCCAGCTCTTCTCTGAGTTGCTGGTATCTCTCTAGTTTCTCATGTTCCTTTTTCCTGATGTTGCAGTCACTTGGTATCACTATGTCTTCCACAACGGCCATCTTTGGATGGCCATCTCTACCATCTTTGGAGGTGTTTCCTACTGTGACCTTGGGGTTTCCAGCCATACTCTGCACAGATGTTCCTGCATTCTATTCAAGCCACTTGGTTATGGCGCGCCATGTAAGCTTTCCCTGCCAGCATCTTACACCCTACAGTTATGTGCTGGATTGTCTCAGGGGCCTCTTTGTACAGTCTGCACCTGGGGTCTCGTCTAGTGTGGTAGATCTGGGCCTCTATTGCGCTGGTGCTCAGGGCCTGCTCCTGTGCAGCTATGATGAGTGCCTCTGTGCTGGGTGGTACATCCCATGTAGGGGCTGATCCTCCCACGATGGAGTCTCTGCCACTTCATCTTCTGTTCCCCATTGTCCGAGACAGTCACTGAGGAGGTTGTCTGTTGGAGCCTTGTCCTGGATGTACTTGGATAGCGGCTCTTATGCTCATTAGTCCTCAGCCTCCTTCCTTACGGCTGGTGTACAGTCTCAGGATTTGGGTTGGTCACCTGCAGGGTATCTGATTACTGGTAGAGTAATCATATGCATCTCTCTCTCTCTCTCTTTTATATATATATATATATATATATATATATATATATATATATACATACGTACGTACATACATACATACATTGAATCTACTTCCATTGGACACCAATGGAAGTAGATTAAGTTGAGGGGTGCCCAATGAAGGTACCAGATGCACCGCCGGCCACCATGGGGGCCTGTTCAGCCCATATGCCCATATTTATTGTTGACAGCCCCTGGGTAGTCTGAATGCAAAATGTATGTTTTAAGCTTAATGTTTGCATTTTCTTTTCTCATCAGGGAAATGCTTCAGGCTGTATTCTCCCTCCTACCAACATTTCCACTTTAAGTAAGCCAGAGGACCTGACTCATCTGTCTCAGCTGGTGAGAATAAACTTCCTTTTTAACCCATTAAGTAAAAAATGTACACTTTGTGGTTTTACTAAAGCCAGTTTTGTTCTTCCTGTGTTTGTTCCTGTGTGCTTTTGTGTAGAACCACAGTAACAGTGTGAGCGTAGCTCTTCAGTGCAGACTCAGCCTGGCTCCCTCCCAGACGTTGAAGCTCATGATCACAGGAAGACTTCAGCTACCTGCTCTTCATGCTGTAAGTCACTAGGTTTCCTGGATGTTAAGAATTTCAATGAAATCTCTTGTTAGAGCTGACTTATTTTATTTTTTGAAGTCATTAATAATAAATAACGTGTACTGTACTTACAAACTCCATGTATAAACCCAGTAAGTACAGATATGTGCTCCATGCATTTATAGTTAGATTCTCTGTGGGGACATACTTTCTGGATGAAGATAAATTCTGCTTCCTTAGGTCATCACTAGATGTCACTCTAACCTTAGATTTCACACCAGGAGGGTTGATGCAAATGTTCAACTGCATGACAGGATATCCCATCAAAACTGGTTGCTGTTAAAACCCAGCACTTCTGCCAGAGTTCTGATGTACGCCGTAATAATCAGATCTAACTCTAACCTAGTCTACAAAAACAATCTAGAAATAAGTAAAGGTGTATCTACCCTTAATTTGAGCAGCTAAATAAGATCTGCTAATGGAAAATAAGATAATTAGATAATATGCACTTGGAATAAGACAATAAAAATAATTGTTTTATTTTAAATAGAAATTGTCTTGTTCCATTGGCAGTGTCTCCCTTGCACTTATAATAGCAAAAAATGACTTATTTCGATTAAATTTTTTTGCAGTACATAACGCTTACTCTAATGCTACATTCAGATCGCATGCGATAGATGCATCAGGAAAGCTTCTGATGTTTGTCCACTTTAAGTTCAGACTTCAAGTAAAGTGTGTCCAGATGCGTCTGATGCTTCTGCTGCTCCTGTGTACAATGCCAGAGAGCAGCTTTTCTGTATTTGCTGTGATCAGTGGGTAGAAATTAGTTTGAATCTATTTTGAAGTGAGAAAGTCCTCCTGAAAACATGGTCTGTGCAGTCAGTTCATCCAGATTACCATCCTGCCTTCAAAGATTATTTTGCCGTCGGACCAGCACGATACCCCCATACACTGGCGGTGCGCTGTCACTGGAAATCCCCAGCAGCAGCTGCCTCAGGCCCGCTCGCCACATGGGGTTTTCTGCTACAGTCCACATTTTTCATGTACGTAATCCAAACTGCGGGCACCAGGATAATAAAAGTGAACATATTCTGCCGGCAGGTTTCTACATTTTAAGTTAATTTAAGTCGTTAATAAACTGTTTCAGAGGAGTGATCATAGCGCTTTGCATCAGCAGTGCTGTGTCTGACTCCCTGCCAGCTCCCAGATCAGCTTCTCTGATTGGTTGATGTCCAGCAGCTAAAGCTGGACATCAATTTCTCCAACTCCAGCAGCTGCTGGTTCTGAAGCGCCTCAGATGCTCAGAAGCTCATGAGGTGCTGCTCCTGCTGCTCAGACGCTGCAGGACCTTTTGCTGCACCTTGATGAGCGTCAACCATTGACTTTGCATGGAAACCTGCTGCTTCTTCGTTTCGAGCAGCTGAAGCAGCGCCTCATGAGCTTCTGAGCACCTGAGGTGCGTGTTGCGCTTCACAAGGAGCAGCTGCTGGAGTTGGAAAAATATAAATTTCCTCTGAACACAGGAACATCAGAAGCACCAGACGCATCTGGACACACTTTGCTTGGACGCACGTCAGGTGGATCAAAGATGCTCTTGAGGCGCATCTGACCCTAATGTGGACAAGTATAAAAAATAAAGCAGCAGATGCTTTTTTGCTGCTAAAATAACATATGGTGTGAACGTAGCATATCTCTAACCCTGCTGTTCTGTTTTTAATGTTTCCGATCTTTTTTTTTTGTATTTACAGCCTCTGTGTTACAGGAAGCCTCTCTGCCTCCAACTAAAATGAACAGAGTGAAAATAGGATTAATATGACTTACAATAAACAATCGCTGGACTCTTTATTAGGCACGCCTTGTTAGTTGCTGGTTTTACCCTCATTCAGTTCTTCCTGCATAGATTAATCAAGATGCTGCAAACATTCTGCAGAATTTGCTTCATGTCGACACAACAGAGCCACGGTTTGCTTTAGATGTGTTTGCACCACATCGATCACGTCAATATTCTTACATTTCAGTACCTTGGACTCTTCTGACAGAGAATATGTCTCTCCTAAACTTGTTATTTGCTGAAGATTATCCAGCAGCCTGAAAAACCTTTTAATGGGTGTACCTAAAAAAGTGGTTGGTCATTTTTTGACATTTAAGTCCAAATTATAGTATTTAGTTACATAAACTGCTGTGTTTGACAACCATTTGACTTACAGGTGAGCTTCAGGTCCTTAGAGCTGCTGACTGTTACCTCGATCCAGCTGGACAAGTCCAATCCCATGTTTCTGCAGGAGGACAACCTTGTTAGACAGGTACAACACTGTTACTGTTACCAAGACAACTAAGATCTTAAGGATGCTCCAGAGTGCTTGCTTATTTAATCATCTGTATTACCAACCGGTAGGGGTGCAACAATTCACTTCTATTCAGTTTATTTCTATAGCTCCAATTCACATCCTGTCATCTCAGGTCACTTTCCAGTTCACCAGATCATCCAGTCAGATTGATTCAAAGTTTTCTATCTAAGGAAAACCAGCTGATTGCATCGACTCATTGACTCTTCAGCAATCCCTCACACTAAGCATGCTTGTAGTGACAGTGGAGAGGAAAAACTCCCTTTGAACAGGAAGAAACCTCCAGCAGAACCAGGCTCAGTGTGAGCGGCCATCTGCTGAGGCCGACTGGGGTTCAAGGAGACAGAAGCAGAGATAGAAAAAGAAGCATAGATACAAAAGGCAACTGTCAACCAGCTCCACAGGCAGCCCCGTCCAGGAAACACACAGCCAGGCAGACAAGCTCTGAGCCAGCTCCCATGTCAGAGGATGAAGAGAGCACATCCAGTTAGTCACAGTCAGAGAAACAGGACTACACTGGAAAACAGGCCAAGCTCCAACATCTAGAAACAAAGGTGTTTATGGCCGCAGACCAGCTGATATTTCTCTCCAGGATGGAGTCACAGCCAAACAGGAACAGACCAGATGAAGCTACTATGAGAAAAAGCAGAGAGAGCAGAACGTTAGAGATTGAACTAACAGATTCTGCAGAGTGGGAGAATAGAGATAGAGAATGAAGCAGAATGATGAAAAAGGGATCCCTATGTCCTCCAGTAGTCTAAGCCTATAGCAGCATAACTATAGAGTGTCGTGGGAAAAAAGTATTCAACTATTCATCCTAGTTAAATAAACGGAGATGGATGGATTTCACTCAGTCGGCACATTTATTCATATCTTTGCAAAGAGAGAACAGTTCATCATACAGCCCTAACGGCACAGCATTCTGCTCTGTTCTGATCTGGGCAGCGTTCGTCCCCCCTTACTTAGAACACTGCAAAAGTAGTCAAAGTCAAAGCAAATTATACACACTTTGGTTAACAGTAACATGTTATGAATAAACCTTGAGAAAGAATCTGGTTTGTTATGGGAAGAAGCTATGTCTGGTCTACAAACACCATCATGCAGAGAATTGTGTGGCCTTGAGAGAGGAACAGACTGAGTGAAAACTTTTATGGTGAGTAAATAGGATAAATTGATATATAATAGAAGAAAGATAAAAATAGCTCAGGATAACCTGAGCCACTCTAACTATAAGCTTTATCAAAAAGGATATGCAGCAAGCATATTCTTTCTGGAAACATCTGGTACGGCCCTCTGGGTTCAGTACCAGTACATTTCCAAGTGTTTCCACCTGAAGACTTAGAAATGTTACAGAAAACGACTGAACAATAATTAAAGAATTTTATGATCAAGGGAACCAAAGTGTAGCAGCCTTTTATTTTTTTCATTTTTTCCCTTTTATTTCTCACCATACATTCCGAATCATTTGTTTCTATCTTAATATCCACAATATAATATATGGACAGACAGCAATTGTTTAAAAGTTTGCTTAATGTACTTACAGATCTTATCAAATAAATAAAAGCAATAACTTTCCAGCTAAACCAGCAATTTACATGCAGCTGGTCAGGAAAAAAATTTGCTCTATCAAAGTTTCATTTCTTTGTGGAAAAAATATACAATATTGTTTTTAATATACTAAAATACTACAGTACTATCATATATTTTTTCCGAGGAACTGGCTCATAACCATTACTGTGGGACCAGGCTTTTTCAGAACGGAATTTCCTCTAACACAGTAGCTTTGTTTGGTTTGGTTTCTCTGTCTTTATAAAACAAATTTAGGACAGCTGTGAAGCACATAGAAATCTAACATCCTCTTACAGTTTATCGTAGATGCTACAGAGTTTGGAAGACTCACCTTTCTCTGCCATTTTTCCAGTTTATAGACAGTCCAACAAAGCAAAGTTAGAATTACATATTTCTCAGTGTAAATACGTGTATTGTATTACATTTGGTAGAATCATGTAATTACAGATGAAGAAATTTTAAACCATATATACAAAACCTTTATTGGCAAATATGTCCAGGGTTTCCTGTGGAGTACCACAGGGATCAGTGCTAGGGCCAATTCTATTATTTGCTCAGTGCGCCATCAGCTCATCTGCGCATCCAGATATACATCCGGGTCGCCCTCAATTTTATTTTGTTAAAAATTCCTAAATCATATTTTTCTCTCCCCAAAAATAGTGAACATACTAAAATATGTGTTAAAGGTTAATAATGTATTTCCTGAGAAAAAAAATGCCTTAAAATGCCTTCCGTTCTATCACTCTCTGCCCGTTCTGTAGAGGAAATTGGATCCTACGCTAGCCTGGGTGCCATTCCGAACTTAGTCCCGCCCACAACGTTTGAGGTCGGGAAGTTCGGTCTGGCATTGCTTAATAGTAGCGCAAGTATGCTCGCACAATAGGGCGGGCTTTATACGATGATGGACAGATGATCAACAGTAACGTACAGTAATCAACCACGTCCCAAAAGCGAGCTTGGGTGACAACAACAATGGCTGCCGCTGGAGAGTTGAGGTGAGTAGATTCTGCTATTAGGTCTGCTCTAGAAGATATCGACAGCAAATTGATTTTAAAAGAGGAACAGAGAAACGCGATCAAGTCTCATCTTCTTATTCTAGGCGTGAAACGGCACGCTTTGATTTTTGTTGACAACAACTATGTGTCGCTTAACATACGTCACGCACTCCGTTGCTCTTATTGGTTGTAGGTCTATCCAATTGAGTGCAGAGGCATTTTTTTCCTGGTTCGTTCGAAACACGCCCCATAATCACAGCTTTATGGAGCAGTATCAGACTCAGATTCTGACTAGAATTGAGTAGGACTACGTCAGGCTAATCCTACGCTACTTCCGGGAGCTAACTTTTTCGGCTTTTTAAACATAAATCTAGTCTTTTTGATTTTTTTTTTTTCGTTTTAACATTATGCTATATAGTGGGTAATCTTAAGAAAGAAACAACTAAAATGCAGATAAACATGGTTTAATCGGATTTAGCCGGACTGCTCTGAGTATGTCCCATGATGATGTCAGAGAAACTCTTTAACGAAGAAAATGGAAAAAATCATCAGACAGCTTTTTTTATAGATGTTTGTTAGCATTCTTTAGTGAGTTAAGGATATAAATAAGTGATTTTAGTTCCATCATTACATTATTTATGGACACCTGGATGGATAGCAGTTTGCGCTTCCAGGGCGGATCAGGTAGTGACGGCCATTAGCAGCTGCGGCTGCCAGCAACAGGAAGTTATTCATATTTTTGAAGCTCCACTGGATGGGTGTGAGTTCAGAGGGGAGTAGTTCTGGTGACATCATCAACATTTGATCCCATCTCATATATATATATATATATATATATATATATATATATATATATATATATATATATATATATATATATATATATATATATATATATATATATATATAATCAAACCTTGTTAAACATTTGTATAAATATCTAATTACAAAACACCAGCAGTTACTCTAGAAGGTGCTGTATTCAGCAGTTTTTTTCGCCTTAAACGGCATAAGGGGGGATTACATTCAGCTGATAAGTGATGTTAGACTGTTGCTTTAAAACAGACCATCCTGGACCTGAGGAAAGAAGGACGCAGCTCCATCTCTATCTGGATTATCCTGGGAAGCTCACTGGGAGGCCTGCTGCTGCTTTGCTTTGTCGTCTTGGTCTTATGGAAGGTAAACGATAAATATTATAAACACAAGTTATGAGGTCTTTTTTTTCCCCTTGCATTTTATTCTCATTTCACTGTCACCAGAACAGAGCAATGAAATTCACTCTGCATTTAACCCATCCCCTTGGGCATTAGTGGGCTGCCATTGTGTGGCACCCGGGGAACAGTGTGGGGTTAAGCGTCTTGCTCAGGGATCCAGAGTGGCAGGCTGTGGGAGTGGGGCTCGAACTCAGAACCTCTGGATTCCAAGCTCTATGCTCTGACCGCTAGGCCACCACTCCCCCATCATGTTATGTTAAAAGTACATTGCTGTTTTGGGCAAACACACTGACATCTAACCACAATTTCTTTTAGCTTGGATTCTTCAAAAGACAGAGACGTGAGGAAGAGGAGGAGCAGCCTGTGACCAATGGGAAGGCAGAGAAGCAGCTATAAGGCATGATGACATTACACCTGATCAAATTTTAGACATTAGGTCAACCGGTGACTGACAATCCTAGAGGTTCCATCCAGCTCTGACTCAAAGCCACGCAGTTAAGATTCTGCTGCAGCTGAAGAACATAGCAGACCTATTTATGTAGCAGGACCTTCGGCTGCGTTTGGTATTAGCTGTATTTATTGCAACAGCAAATGCACTATTCTTATTTTTTATTGTCTGGCAAAATCATGGTCCATCTCGACCAAAATAACCACCAAATCAATCGATGTTTGGGTGTCTTTGTTAGCATGGTTTCCATGGCGATGCACATACAGTCATACAAATGAATGTCCCATGCAGTCTGTTTTCAAATGTAAATGTCTGTTCCTGATGAGCTGTTTCTAGGAGTCATTTTGACCCCATCCTCTGCACATCACAAATTCATTTCTGTTAGCAGGATGCAGATTGATCTGATTCAACTTTTGATTGAATATTAGATGGATGTCAGTACCTCTCAGCTAAAAAAAAACAATCCACTGGACTTTGTTTCCCAGTTTGAAGACGTTTCTCTCCCCATCCAGGAAGCTTTTTTAATTCAAAATGTCAGCAGGACGGAATCAACTCAACAAAACCTACAATGCAGCGATAGAGTTGATTCCTTCCCGCTATCATCGCAGCCCCAACCCCTGTACAGGAGAACAGAAGACCTCGCCTATTCAGCCAGGCCAACAATTCCCTGTAACGACCCCCCTTTCAGAGACATAGACAGGTATGAGGCATTGCAGGCTAACAAAGAAGCCAAGCGACCCCCATTCCAAAGCGGTGGACCCGTTCATCCGTTTCAATTTGCATGTTTTCTAAACAAAAACAAAGCTTTGTGGGGCTACTGGATAAAACCTGGAACTCAACGCTATTTCTGACATTTTGAATTGAAAAATTTTCCTGGATGGGAAGAAAAAAAACGTCTTCAAACTTGGAAACAAAGTCCAGTGGATTGATTTTAACTTTTTTTGAATGACTCTGACCTGGATGACTGAGAATCGTCACCAGCATTTTAATAATAATAATAATACATTTTATTTAAAAAGGCGCCTTTCTGGACACTCAAGGTCACCGTACAAAACATAAAAAGTGTCAGAAAAAATAAAAATTATAATTATAAAAACATTTAAAAACATTTAAAAAATACAGAGGCTGTGACAGTGAGATTGATATTTTTAAAGAGAATAAGCAATCTTGAACAGATGGGTTTTGAGTTGTATTTTAAAATGGAGAATTGAGTCCGTATTTCGAAGTTGGGGTGGTAGAGAGTTCCAGAGGCGGGGGGCAGAGCGGCTGAATGCTCTGCTCCCCATGGTGGTGAGACGGGCGGAGGGGACAGACAGGTGCAAGGCAGATGAGGATCTAAGAGCACGGGAGGGGGTGGGAACATGCAGGAGGTCTGACAGATATGGGGGGGCAAGGTGGTGAAGTGCCTTGAAAGTCATCATGATAATTTTATATTGAATGCGGAACTGTATGGGGAGCCAGTGGAGCTGTCGGAGGACCGGAGTGATGTGGTGGATAGAGGGAGTTCTTGTTATGATTCGAGCAGCTGAGTTCTGGACCAGTTGTAGTTTGTGGAGTGATTTCTGAGGAAGTCCAAAGAGGAGGGAGTTGCAGTAATCTAGTCGGGAGGTGACAAGGCTGTGCACAAGTATGGCAGTAGTGTGTGGGGTAAGGGAGGGACGGAGGCGGTTGATGTTTCTTAAGTGGAAGTAGGCAGACCTGGTAATGTTATTTATATGGGATTGGAAAGATTTTACCTCTCAGCATTTTATAATTCCATCTCTGTAGTCGTTTGCAATTTTTATTTCACTCTTTAATTAATAGAAATCTAAGCAAATGTCTAAAAATAACGCACGTCATCTCAAGGCACTTTACAGAAACAATTGCAACAACTCATTGACTCTTCAGCAATCCCTCACACTAAGCATGCTTGTAGCGACAGTGGAGAGGAAACACTCCCTTTGAACAGGAAGAAACCTCCAGCAGAACCAGGCTCAGTGTGAGCAGCCATCTGCTGAGGCCGACTGGGGTTCAAAGAGACAGGATCTGATTGATAAAGCGTCAGCTTCAGCTGGTTCCATGAATTTTTTAACTAATAAAATGCTTGACTTGTAGAATTTTGGGACGGCTTCTAATGGTGATTGCTGCTTTTTAGAAACTGAGGCACTTCTCTCCTGATTGGAGGATTCTTAGTAGAATTGATCTACTGCTTTGTTTTTAAACCAAACACAGAGGCAAAATATCTAAATAAATTTAAAGGTAATTTTATGTTGTTTTTTTGAATGTATGTGTATACTGAAACGCCTTATGGTTGGATATAAGTGTTTTTGAAATAAAGTTTATTAAAACATCTGTCTTTCTGTCTGTGATTTCCATTAAAGATTCTTACACATGCATGGAAGCATGGTTAATGCCATGACAGTCTTCATGCTACGTTCCCACTGAATGCTTTTGGAGCAGCAGAAGCAGCCAGTTTCCATGTAAAGTCTATGTTTGATTAGCATCAAAAGGTCCTGCAGCACGTCTTCCAGTTGTCATGATGGGGTTTAGGGTTCAAGCCATATGCAGAACACACATGGAGGAGGCAGGGAAAAAGTTCAAAGGTTTATTCAAAGTTCTGAAACACAAGATAATATACAAGTTCTGAAACTGGTTTGGGCTGGTTCACTGAAGTCTTGACTGGGACCAGAGACTGTTGGTTAGCAGAGTTCATGAGAAGCTAAGCGTCTAGCTTTAGGCTTAGCATGGCAGACCTTGATCTGAGCTTCCAGCTCATTACATAGAACAACACGGAATATCCACATAGGATTCTTCAGGCTGATTCCACATAGGAATCTTCAGGTTGGCTCACCAGGGCTGATTGGCAGGTTAAGCTCACCCAGAGCTTCAGGCTGGAGACAGGTTTCCTGTGAGGCAGCTCACCTAGAGCTTCAGACTAGCGACAGGTTACCTGTGAGGCACAAACAAAGGAGAGTTAGAATCAGATCTCTCACTGGAGATAAAAAAGATTCTTTCAGTTACAGAGGCTCAGGTTGCTAACCGAAACTAAAATCAAGACTGCGGCGTGGAAGCAAGGTCTGGCAGGAGCTTATAAAGGGGAGATCTCCTGATGAGTAGATGCATAACAGGTGTGCTGGAAGACTCCAGCCCTAGGAGACCCATGGCGCACTCTGCTGGAGACAGAAGGTAATCTCCAGATCCCAACAGTAACTCCAGCCCTAAGAGAAAACAACAAAAAGCAGAAGAGGATCCTCGGCGCCCTCTGGTGGACAAACCTGAGGATCCCAACAGTGCCCCCCCCTCAAGGGCGGATTCCAGACGCCCTCTGAAAAAGTCCAAAAAATAAACAAAAAACAACCCACCCAGGGTGGGCGAAGGGGGCACTAGGGCAAGGAGGGCCAGAAAACAACAAAAACAAAGTCCAAAAAACAACCCACCCAGGGTGGGCGAAGGGGGACACAAGCCAGGAGGGCAAAAAACAAAACCAGAACAAAAGTCCAGAACAAAAAACGATCCACTTACAGTGGATGAAAACAAAAGAAATCCCAGACGATTTCTTGGGCAAAGTCTCAGGTGGCCGGCCGTGGGACTGGCAGCGGGGCCGGAGGAGTAGCAAATGTTCTGGAGGCCTGCCATGAGGCCAGGCCTGCCGTGAGGCAGAAACTTAGGTGGCCTGCAGTTGGACCGGAGACGAGACAGATGCTCAGGGGGCCGACCACGGAGCAGAAGGCGAGGCTGACACTCCGGTGGCCTTCCGCAGGGCTGGAGACGAAGCAGCGACTTAGGGGGACCACCGCCGGGCCGGAGGCATGGCAGAGGTTCTGGAGACCGGCCGAGGGTCCGGCAACGGAGCAGAGTCTTAGGTGGCCGGCTGCGGGGTCGGAGGCGAAGCTGACGCTCTGGGGGTCTGCCGCGGGGTCGGCGGCGAAGCTGACGCTCCGGGGGTCTGCCGCGGGGCCGGAGGCGAAGCCGACGCTCCGGGGGTCTGCCGCGGGGGCGGAGGCGAAGCTGACGCTCCGGGGGTCTGCCGCGGGGCCGGAGGCGAAGCTGACGCTCTGGGGGCCGGCCGCGGGGCCGGAGGCGAAGCAGCTTCTCAGGAGGACGCCGCCCCAATTTCAGTAGGTACCCCCACGGGGTACCCCGTCCCCTCTTCAGCGGCTCTGGAACAGGCTCTGTAGGGACCGCCGACTGCGGCTCTGGAGCAGGCTCTGAGGAGACCGCCGACTGCGGCTCTGGAAAAGGCTTTGAGGAGACCGCCGACTGCGACTCCTGAACTGGAACAGGGGAGCCCGCCGATTGCGGCTCCGGATCAGGAACAGGGGAGCCCGCCGATTGCGGCTCCGGGTCAGGAACAGAGGGGAACACCGACTGTGGTTCAGGAACAGGCTCATAAGAGGCCACCACCTGCAGCTCCTGGACAGGAACTGAGGAGCCCGCCGATTGCAGCTCCACATCTGGAACAGGGGAGACCACCGACTGTGGCTCTTCATCAGGAACAGGGGAGGCCACCGACTGTGGCTCCACCTCAGGAACTGGAGAGACCACCGACTGTGGCTCCACCTCAGGAACAGGAGAGACCACCGACTGTGGCTCCACCTCAGGAACAGGAGAGACCACCGACTGTGGCTCCACCTCTGGAACAGGGGAAACCACCGACTGTGGCTCCATCACAGGAACAGGGGAGACCACCCATGGAGCCACATGTTCAGTCTCTGAAGTGGTTTGAAGCGCATGTAGAGGGCTCTTGGCGTTTTGTGGCCCCTGCTGAGAGGCTCCTGGAGGCATATTTCCACCAACTCCGAACTCTGAAGCCCTCTTAAGTGTATGCTCAGGGGTCTCTGGACGGCACAGAGCAGACTCAGGGGTCTCTAGACGGCACAGAGCTGACCCAGGGGTCTCTAGACGGCACAGAGCTGACTTTTGGCGACGCCATTTATTACGCCGAGGGGTTTTTGGAACTGAGCTAACGGGTATGAAGACTGATTCAAGCAACAAGTTAACAGGTTGAAAAATTAGAGTTCCACAGCGGATTTCTGGTTCAGGGCTAGATAATTAGGCATGGGAACAGGTTTAGAAACAACGGTGACGGGTTCAGGTGTCTGATCAGGCTGGCGAAGAACCCTAACTGTTTGATGTGTAACTGGTGGGCCTATTTTGAGTCCTTTAACGGATGGAGCTAAGTGAAGGTCAAGTATATGAGAGCTGAGACTAACCTGGCGCGGAAGGGAGCTGGAATCCTGAGTCTGATGCTGGACGGCTCTGGATCTGGTTTGCAGTTCCATGTCTAAACCAATAGCAAACTCTATGAGGTCCTCCAAGTTAGCTGGCTCATCGTAAAAAGTTAGCTCGTTCCTGACTGGTTCATTCAGAGCTAGGAGATAAGCAGTTTTGAGTGCGGACTCGTTCCACCCGGAAACGGCTGCTTTAACCCGGACGTCTAAAGAAAATTCTGCAACGGATCTATCTCCCTGTTTAATTACAAAAAGTTCGCTGGAAACGATGGACTTATTAGAGACTAGATTAAAAGTCCTTTCTAACTCCAGGATGAATTTCTCATAAGAACAGTTTAAACTGGTTTTCAACGGAAATCTGGTCTCCGCCCATTCAAGGGCTTCTCCGGACAGAAAAGACACGACAAAATCTATTCTACTCTTATCATCTAGAAAGCTCGACTCGTAAAATTAAAAAAATAACTGACACTGGAA